AGAAAACAAGCTTGCTCCGTCTTCCAAGCCTTTTAGAAACCTGCTTGTCTGGGTTTCCTGTGACTTTTCTCAGCTGAATGTAAGGCACCTTTTTAAATGCCCATGAAAGACCACATGGGGCGGGAGGCCAGGGCACGGGCCGGCTGTGCTGCTGCAACCCCTCATGCATTTCTCAAGTAGGAAAGCAGGGAGGGGGTAAATTCACACGCACACCACACCCATTATCAAGAGGCCAAGACAGGCATCCTCTTCACTCCCCGTTCTCCAGCTCAGGGATGGGGAACTTGTGGCGCTTCAGAGTTTACAGATTTTCCATCACTGGAAAACTTTTGCTGCGGCTGAGGAGAGTCCAGGAACCTCTGGAGAACCACAGCTGCCCCTTCCTTGCGCCAGCGAGGGTTTACTTCCAATAAGAGAAAAATGGAGCTTGAAAGAAAGGAAAGAAAGAAAGAAAGAAAGAAAGAAAGAAAGAAAGAAAGAAAGAAAGAAAGAAAGAGAATTGCAGAGGCTGTCTGTGTGTTTGAGTGAAGCATGGCTTAACATGTAAAAACAAGGATCAGGCTTTTTGTTTTTGCAGGGTCCAGGTGACGTCTTGGCACACGCGACAGGTTCCGCCCATTGCAGCTGCGGAATATTGAGGGGGCCTGGACCCTCCTTGAAAATTTTGGGGTCCTCAGCCCCCTGGCCCCCTAGATGGCACCCCTGCCTCTTGGAATCAAAATGCCAGGCTTTACCCCTCATTTCCATGTAATCCAGATTTTCCCTTTCTGGGGAAAATCCAGTAAGTATGCAAAGCTGTTTCCAATGTGGCTTTCAAAATCCCAGTGACCCGTTTGCCGTATTAAGTCCCTACCTGGAAGCCCAGAGCAAACCGACCAGCCCATGGCAGCCCACTTCCCGGCTTGCGTCCTGACTTTTCATTTTATGCTGTGCAGCGGCTGAAGCACAACTCGCTTCCATGGAGCAGAGCCGGCTGGAGCTGGGAGCAGCTGGGCCTGGGACAACTTAGCAAGAGCCATGTCTGCTGAAACCTGGCAATTCAGGTTGGGTTTGCTGTTGATGTAAATCTGAAGCAGATGCTGGCAGACAGTGAGCAGGAGGGTGTTGCGGACAAAGTGGGGAGGGGTCCCCCATTCAAATCACAGGAGCCTGAGTGGATCAAGCTGAGCGTTAAGCTGCAGGGACTGGCAGCAGAGCAGTGCTGAAGCGAAAAGGCAAACAAGAACGGGCCCACACCACGGCAGCAACTACTGACATCAATATCCCCAAACTCCTGCCAGAATACGGCAGGAAACCTCCATTTTCCTTTGTCTGAAGGAACCATCCTGTTTGACAGCAAGCCTGTTAAACTTCAAATCCCGCTTAGGAAAGAGCAGCCCCTCCAGGGGACATGGAGGAGGAGCAGGCAGGATGCGCACCACCCAGGCAGAGCTTGCTGCAAAGAGCTCAGCATCGCCTCTCTCTAAGGCACACCCGCCCCAAGGGAAACCTCCAGTTCAGCCTGTTCTGCATGCGGAAGGGCACGGGAATTCGCTTTTTTTAAAAAAGACAATTGCTTTTACTGGGCTCCAACGAAATAAAGTTTTTATACAGTGAGATAGGGGAGGAGACCTGAGTCGCGACATGGGCAGAACAGAGGAGACATAATTCCTGGACTGTAGCCCCCTACACAGGACCACCGTCCTGGCAGCCATCTTGAACAAGAGTGCACATCTTATGAAACCCCTTGACATTTCATTACCCGACCTTCTTGTATTGTAGTGATCAGGGCTCTCTTGCGGCATGGATATCAATAATTTATTGGGTTACTTTACAGACATCCTGCTATAAGAGCCATAGCAGTACTCTCTCGTTTTTAACTGACGTGTAGGATAGTATCACAAATGCCACTTCCTGGGCAGTTTGTGAGATGAGTGCAGGGTGCGGCCCTCCAGCTCTGGAGAGGCTCTGCCCTTCGAGGCTCCTCTGTGGGAGTCTCCCCACTTTGGGGGTAGGTTTGCAGAATCTTCCAGCAACTGGGAAATTCATTCTCTGGTGCCAAAAGAGAGATGCAAGGGGCTTGATAAATAGCACATGAAGGATGTAATTCTGTTTCTGACTTCTTTTGCCCGCAAGTATGAAAGCAGGGGCTCTTTCCCCCACAGAGGAGCGTAACAGGATCTATTTGATGTGGCAGAGTTTCCTATCGAGAGGTGTGAAGTGTGTCATGCAGGCCACAAAGCTCCCTCTGGCTTAGACTTGCCTACTTAGGGTGTGAGGCAGTTTCCGGAAGTGCAAACTGCAGCGGGGGGGGGGGGGGAGGGTGCTTAACCTTTTCTTTTCTGGGGCAAAGAGTTCCTGCACAAAACATGGGGCAGATGGCTTCCCTCCTGCTTGCAACATTAGGGTGGGACTTGGGCATGAGAGGGTGGAAATCCTTGCCTTGGTTGCATTTCATCTCAGATCTTCCTCCTTGTCAGTCTAGAGCTGTAGAGTCAGTCACAAGGTGGCTCCTCAAAGTCTTGTCGGCTGCCTGCGTTTGTATAAGAGACCAGTGCGCTGGCTAAATGTGATCTCCCATCCTCTAATAAAGGGCTCCAGACCCAACTCTCTGAAATGACAGGCAAGGGATGCTGTGGCAATGCCTTGTTTTCTTTTGGGGAGGCAGATGTGCTTCCTGGAAAAGCATCCCATAAGCTATAAAGATATTGTTGTGAGTTTGGGGTATGCCGGAGTCCCTTCTAATCCCTGGATCCAGCAAGGATTCAATTGCTGGAATAGCCAGGCCAGCTTCTTGGTATTGACCCTCTAACTATATGTCATTAAGCTAACAAAGGAAGTGGCTCTGTGCCAGAGATCAAATAGGTGCCCTGCCCCCCAACTAGCTTGTAGTTAGAAGGACAAAACGCCAGAGTTGTGTGCGAGAGCTAGAAGCAGGCTGCAGACTGAAGCCTAAGAGGGAGAGACAGGCTTGATTTCTGCCTGAATCCAAGGCTGTGGCTATGGGAAAAGCACAGCCTTCTGGGGTGTTAATGCTGTGAGCCCCTCCATCACAGGCCCAGCTTGTGGATATGTATAAATAAATTGTATATCCTAAAGACACCACAGTCTCCGCTGTCCCTTATTTCAGGGAAACCAAACCTTGGGAAAGCACCTGCAACCCCTGGCATCTGGCTCCACTCAGATATTTTTCTTTTTGTGTGGGGGCAAAAATATATTCACCCCAGACTGCAGCCACAGGTGAAATGTTCAAGGGCTAGTTGACATGGCTAACAGAATGAGGTGATGTGATGCCGCTTCAGGCCACAGGGGAAAGTTGCAGGCTCCCCCTACCCCCAGCAACTCTTTCCTAGTGCAAGTCAAAGCAGAAGAAAAGTCTAGCACATCAGGCACAGAGGTCAGCCTTTTCCTTTCCCTTAGAGGGAGGTAGTCGTTTGTAGACTTGTGTTAAAAATGTGAAGCCCACACGGCAGACTGAAATGGTGCCGCTCAGTCAGCTCTGCTTCCCAGATGCTTGAAGGGGCTGCAAAGTGGTGGTGGTGGGCTCTCTCTCTCTCTCTCTCTCTCTCTCTCTCTCTCTCTCAGCATTCGGAACTACTCTTTTGACTAAAATTAGCCCTTTCAAGTCAGATTCTCATTGACACTAAGGTTACATCATGTCTTTTGCCACATCAAAAGATACTACTTGTAATGGTTTGTGCTTTAACAAATTTGGGCTTAGGTGTTTGAAACAGCCGACTTGGCATCAGAAAGTGAGCTGGCCGTGCTCAGTCAGAGAGTTAATTTCTCTCTCAATAATTTCACAGCCTGGTTAAGGGTTGTCCTGTTGTGACCGATTCATAATTAAAGTTTACCTCACACAGCACCAAAGTCTACAAGGAAGATCTGGCTGAAATGCTTACATATTCCAAGAGCAGCTGCTTTTAATAAATGGGCAAGAAAGCCAAATTTAGAAGAGAAACATTTAGTCTCCAGGTCCAAGGCTATAGTCCAGCCGTCAGATTTCCTTGAATAAGTAAGTCCCAGCCAGGGCTTTCAAGTGGGCATTTCTTTCTTATTAATGCTTCCAATCCACCTGGACCAGACGATGAGATGCAAATACAGTGGTACCTTGGGTTAAGAACTTAATTCGTTCCGGAGGTCCGCTCTTAACCCGAAACTGTTCTTAACCCAAAGCACCACTTTAGCTAATGGGGCCTCCCGCTGCCGCCGTGCCGCTGCTGCATGATTTCTGTTCTCATCCTGAAGCAAAGTTCTTAACCCGAGGTAATATTTCTGAGTTAGCGGAGTCTGTAACCTGAAGCGTATGTAACCTGAAGCGTCTGTAACCCAAGGTACCACTGTATGTACAGCGTTGTGGTGCACTTTTCAGCAGACGGAAAGTTCTGCAACAGAAGGAAAGGTCTCCTGACCAAAGGCCCCATTTCCTGAGAAACCAAGCATACTGAGAAACTAAACCAGAGTGAGCCGATTCTTGCAGACTGAGGTCAGAAACTGGCATCTCTCTGCTGTCGTTCAAAGAAATGCAATTCCCAGAAGCAAGCAAAAGGCTGGTTCCTGCACAGTGAAGCCCTCGGCCCTCGCCCGGGTGGTGTCCACAGTTTTCCATTCATGAGCCAGGCCTCGCAGAGGCACAGCCCCCCTCCCTTTCCCAGCTCAGAATAGACACAGTTGGCTATTAAATGAGCATTCAGTCCAATTTGTTTGTGGGGAGGCTAGATGACATTGCATCAAAACAATTGTTATTCCACACATTCCACTACATTTGCTTGTCACTCTGCTTAATGTGCGCCATAATTTAAAATATTTTGAGGAAGCAGGGTTGTTGTGCAAGAGCTCCTAATCAGCTATAGCTGTGCAACCTGAATTTGCCAGCATGTGACTGAATCCCAGCCAAAAACAGCGATAGTCTCAAACTACCCCAAGTTCCCCACATATTCATCTCCATGTTGCTTTCTGGGTTGTGAATAATGCCCCCCTCCAGACTGAAGAGATCCCAAAACATTGAGAGTATTCACCTGCCAGAATATTTTAACTTCTTTAATTTCTCTCCAAACAAAAATCATTCTAAATTTTCCCACAGAGTTGAGGAAAATGCATAGGAATTAGTCTCATTTGAAGTTTCATGACCACGCTCAACTGAAAGTGCTTCATCTTACATCACATTCACAAGACTGTCGGAACTGCTCAGGCGGTGCTGGGAATCAGGGATGCTGAGGATGGTGCCTCTTCGCCTGCCTCTGAGCACAGAGAGAAGTGGGAAAGTGGGTTTTGTTTTTTCGTTGAGAGTTGGCTACCTCTAGAGCCAAAGAGGTAGGCTGAAAAAGAGTGGCTTACATTTCTGGCACTGGGGGAGTTTTAAAAGTGTGTCTGATGAATGACAGCAACCCAATAGGCCTTCACTGGGAAGCTGCAGCACAAGACATAAACGCTGGATGGAACCAGACTAGCAGCTAGGCGGTCACACACTAGGAACTAACAGAAAACATTTCTGCTCCCTTCACACCTCAGCTGCCACACAACCAAAGAACATCTCTTCAAATATGGATCCAAATTTGGCTGTTACATTTGGTCAATAGGGACAGGTTTTTATGCCGCAAAATCCCTGCTTTTCCCCAAATGGAGGATTTCCTGGCACTCTTTGGCAAGTCATGTGTGGTTCAAGGCTGTTTGTCTCTGAAGGAATCCAGCAGGAAAAGTCGACCCTCAGTTTAAATCTGTGGAGATCCGCTTCAGGCCTTTTTTGAACTTCTCAGTGTAAAAAGTGAAGTCATGGAGTCTGATGGGCTTTCTAGAGAAGCAACGTTTGCAGTCCATCAGCTGTCCCAGATCATTTTCATGTTGCTCAGAATTTTCTCATAGCCTGTATGATGAATGCTAATCTTCCACCCACCCCTAAAGCATATATAAGCCAAAGAAGGTTTTTGACTCCTCAGGATTCACCAGTGTGACTTCTGAGACACTCACATACAGGCTGTCCTGCCTGGAAAGGTTGAACAAAGCACCCAAATAGCTGCTTCTGCCCCACATGTGCCTGGCCACACAGTAGCTCATCTTTCGGTCCTCCATCAGCACCTGGATACCAGGATAAGATGGGTTTCTTTTGAAAACCACATGATCAAGAGGCTGGGGGGTGCAGGCCCCACCCCGGAAGAACACTTTGGAGTACACGAAGTAGAGGCCAGCTTCATCGATCACCAAACCCCTGTTTTCATACTGAACACCAGAAATGAAGGCATGTCCATAGGTACTCTCCCATTCCAGTGGGAGCGATCGCTGGTTTGCTTTGCCTAGAAACATGGAATGTCATGGTGAAAATAAGACAACAAGCAGTTTCTCAGACCCCACTATATTGCAAGGTTTCCTAATATTTTTGAACACAGCAAAATGACCTTTATGTCTAATCTGAAGAGCACTGAAGGATGCTACTCCATACCATTTGCTGGTTTGCTCTTTGCAGTGTGGATGTCAGTTGTTCTCACTGCTGACTGAGAACCTGGAACCTGGAACCATTGCTGCTCATCTTCTCTGCTCAAGGCAACGCTACACACCGGAAGCAATGGGGCAGGCAGGGTGTTGCCTCTTGTGCTTCTGCCACCTGAGGTGGTTGCTTCACGCTGCCTCATGGCTGGGCCGGCTCTCTTCCAATGCTACAAACAGGTGACGGCAGCAGGAGAGCAGCAAATGGAAGATTGCAACTACCCACCCCAGTTAAAGAATGACCAATGTCATGCTTGGTAAAACTTGTCCTTCTGTGCAGCTCTTAAGAGTACAGGATATGTAGCTTGAGGGCCGAGTGCTCTCATCTGGATGAGGACATCAGCCCAGAGCCAGAGAATCTTATCTCTTCCAAACATCTCAAAAGCAGTGGGAGAGAAATGTGTGATTTGGTGCAAAGAGAAATGCTTAAGCATCTCCCAGTCTTCCACTTCTCCCCCTGTAGTCCCTTTTCCAGACATTTTGCCCAGTCCAAGATGGGAGAAAAATTCAGGGGGAGAAGGGGCAGAGAGGGTTAAGTCAGGCACTTTCCTTGACCTGTTCCCATTAGTTTTGAGAGACAGCAAAGTATCTGATTTGGTTATGAAAACCAGTTTCCCAAGTACAATTCAGCCAGTTCATTAGTTTCCTCAGCTACAGCTCTTTTTTGCCCTCGCTGTTTGCAGGATTATTTGCTATGCGTTTTGCTGCCCACCTGTCAAGTGTGCTCTCCTCTTGACTTCCTTTTCCACTGTTCCATTCAGAAATCCTACATTGCAATAGAGAATAAGGCAAGTAACGCATTATACCTTTCCAACAGAGAGAAGAAATGGAAAGGGGAAGCAATGAGGTCAGCTCTGAAGAAATTGAGAGGTGTGATCCAGCCAAAGTTAAGCACATTTTGGTCACATCCATTTCAATGAGAATTATGCCACTGTGTGCCATAGTAGGCTTTACCCCCCAGGCCTTTGGCACTGAAATCAATGGGATCGCAAGTGCTAAACTTGCCTCTTTCAGAGGCAATTGTGCTTTAGGGTGGGCAGCCCTTGAGGTGAGGTATGAGCGCCTTAACATTTCATTTCCCTCAGCAGACCAGTTTATGGACTGGATGCTGTTTCCCACACAGCCACCTATGACTGAACTTATTCCTGAGTCCCCTCCCATGAGACATCTCAGACTGCTTTTCAAATATCTTATTCTACCTTCTGGCTGCTCCCCCAACCCAGGACTAATTTGTTTCCCAGCAAATACCCTGAGATCCTTACATGCAGCCTCAGCACAGAAGCAACATGATCATGCCCAATGTTTTTCTCAAACTTCTCAGCTCTCTGGTTTTCAGATTGGTTTGGGACAATGGCACATCTCCAAATCCACTGTGGATCCCCGAGGGCTTTCTTGCAGTGCTTTTAAATGCACCCACCTGCAGGTCTTAGCTGGTTGGAAGAAGAAGTCCCCATCTCCCTAGAGCTGAATGCTCTCCACCTCCCACACAAGAGCTGGACTTCAAACACAGGCCGATGGCACCCAGCACCACCAGCAGACCACATGAAACCATTTTGAAATCAATACATTTCTGTTTAAAAGCTTGTGAACAGCAACAAACAGTTCTGTATCAAAATATTATATGCCAGACAGTAAGAGAAATGGCTCTCAAGTGTGCTATAATCACTCTCTGTATCATCTGCCCGATGCAGATGAAACAGACCTGTCCAGAAATCCCCAAAGCAGCAAAAGCTCTGGGGATACAGAAATAACAGAAAGAGAGAAGTCCATCTGCAACTAGCATGGACTGGGACTTCAATGCAGCCATTTCATTCAACATTTCACTGTTCAGGTAATGAGCCAAGATATCCAAAGTGGCCCAAGTTTCTTTAATTCAGTGGCAAGAACAATAAGCTCTAGAAATAGGCAATTGTGATTCCAGATGAAAGAAACTTTATAAGAACTGCAAATGTAGGCAGGGCAGCCCAGGCACAACCACCCATTTGGCTCTGCTCTCCCCCCCCCCTCCCCCAGCCATCCCTGGACAAGGACTTCTCACCTTTGAGCATCTCAGGAGATTGAGGCACCTGCCCGGAGCAGGAAAGCTGTGGAGGTAAAAGGCAGACGTTCACACTTGGGAATAAAAATCACCCTGTGCCCCTTTCAGTGGAGGGCCCCATCTTCAGGAGCCGCCAATCCAGGGACCCTGGGTGCCCTTCCCCCAAGTGGTGTGTGCCACTCGCAGGTCTCCTCTGGTATTTCTGTGCCTCCATTTACCTCTCTCAGAGCATCTAGTTCCTGCTGCAGATGGAAGATCTGAAACATTGCAAGCCCAACCCCAGTGAGGGCCAGAAGGGTCAGCAGAGAAACCACCAGGAAACACAGGCATGTGCCATCTTTTTTGTTCTGCTTTTTCCTTTTGGTCTCTGGCACAGGCAGAGCAGGGCGAATGTCCTGGTGGGGCGCAAACCTGATGGGACACAGTCCTGAAGGGGCACACTCAGAGCTGGAAACTCCACTGCTGCTTGTCCAGAAGACCTGGGGGTAAATGCAGTGCTGGTTCTGCTGCAAGGCGGGGAGAGCCATGTCTCTGGAGTCCTCACTTGCTCCTGCCGGCCAAGCTCAGATGCTGCGTCAGAGAAGGGTTCTCTTCCTGTGCTGTGTCTCACCTGCGCCCACCACTGAAAAGCCTCTTGGGCTGACACCAGAAAACCTCAGAGAGCTTCCACCCACTGCTTAGACGCCTGCCTGCACAGAGCAGAGCAGGGAGCAGAAGCAGTTCTCATGCAAAATGTACCCAAACATGATATGCATTCAGAAACAAACACTGTAAACATGGACCTTTTGAGCAAAAAGCAAAATGCAGTTTTGCTTCCTATTCATTTTTTGTTCAAATTCTGTCTCTTACTTGGTAGACCTTTGTTTTCGGTTTCCCACCTTAAAACTTGAATGTTTCTTCAGACTTCTGCTGCCTGCATTTTTCTCCTAGCCTAGTACTGGCTGCTTTCCTGGCAGCCTGATTTATTTATTTTGGAAGCCCAGACTGCAATCCTTCCCATCCTCTTTGCTCCTTCTGGGTTCTCCTCCTCTTTATTTACTTCAAAGTGCAAATATGAAATGAGCTTCCTCTTGCGATTTGTTTGCTTCTACTCAATCTTATTACAAACCAAACCACATCTAGGCCTTTCTCGTCTCTTTGATGTCTCCTAGAAGTTGATAAGGGAACACCCCCTGACTTTTGTATTGCATGATGATTCATGGGAGAGGCAACAACTTTTGTCCTATCCAGCTGTTTTCTTATTTGCTCTAGTGAGAGCCTAAATGCTTTTGAAATTTTTGCTGAAGTGCCTAATACATGGGCAGAGATATCCTTTGCTGCTGCAGACATTGACAGCTGCTTATCTTAGTGTTAACGCCAGCACACTCTTGTTGGGATCCTCTGCACTCCTAGCAACAAAGATGTCAGAAAAACAATACCACTGTAAAGTGGAAATAACACGGTAAACGATCAAGTGTACCCCCAGCACTGATGGCAACACTGATGGCCACTCCAACAATCATGGCAGCGCAATGCAGAGTGTGACGACCATCCACATTTATAGCAGAACACTTCCATGACACAAAACACCACCATATACAGAAAGCACTGCCTCTTAGACACAAGCATCATGGACTCCCACCTGGGGCTGCTTCCACACAGCCAGCACAAGTTCCAGGAATCCCCTGGGTGGGTGTTCGCGTCTCCATCTACCCCCACCTATGCCCCCCCCCCGACAGGCAACCTCAGCATTGCGCCTCTGCCAGGCATAACTCCCTTGAGGCAGGGAACATGCATGAAGAGGCTGTGGCCTCCCTGGAAAAGGGTTCAAGCTCTACTGGGAGAACACTTTTTACAATGGGGAGTTAGCACAAAGCAGGCTGTGAGGCTCCCAATAAGTCAGCATGCTGAGATTGCAAACTGGAGAGAGGTGCTTGAGTGAGCAAAGGCTGGCCAACAACCATCACATCGGAGGCACGGAAGGGAGCAGGCAGGACCAGGCCACATTCCATAGAGCAGGTCTCTCACTATACAGCAACAAGAGGAGTGGGCAGGAAAAGCAGACCTCGTGGGGCATCGGAAATCATCCAGAGCACAGGCTGCCAGCCACCTCTCAGGACCAAGCGGGGTGGTAATCTGAGCTCTAGTCTGGCAGCACAGCACAGATTCATGTAGCTGCAGGTCCTAGCTTTGAACCCTGGATGTGGTCTCCTGGCTCAAAGGGCAGGGAGGGGACACCCTGTCCCAGCAGCACACACACAGGGTGGTGCCAGAGCCAGGAGGACTGGGGAGTGGACTAAGTGCCCCACGAGCTCCGGGCCTGACTCTAGGTGCCTCAGGAGGACTCAGCTGAGCCCTCTGCAAGGAGGCTACCTGCACCCTCCCCCAATAATCCAGTGCATTAGCCACTTGAAGTCTTTTAGCAAAAAAGCAACCCATAAATTAAAAAGTAGCTACAAAATAAAATCTCTTGTGCCTGTTGCTTATTGTGCCAGAAGGACTTAATTTGCTACTCGTCTTGCTGCATAGCTTAGTATGCCATGAGCAACCAGGAAAGCTCGTGAGATGTGAGGATCCAGCTATTCTGCCCATGCTGGAACTCAGGTGGAAGGGCAATAGCTAAGATGCATGGGAGCCCAAACTCTATGGACGTAGCACCAAGACCGTCTTCCTGGGGATGGTTGCCATCTTGAACACAAGATAAGCACCAAGGAGGAAGGCGGGTGCTGCCCAAACTTTTATTGAACAGCCTCAGCAAAAGGGCAATTCTTAAAATAGGAGCTGATAGGATGGCAGGATAGGCATTCAGAGCTCTGAGAAGATGTTGGCTATTTTGACTTGGTTTTCCACCACCAAGTCCCTCCCCCACTTGCAGGCTCTACCTTCTCTACAGAGGAGACTCATGTCACCACATGCTGCAAAGCCTGAGATGCATGTTTCCTGCCTGTGGTTTACATGCTGCTGGAGAGCCTCTCTTGCTATAGGTTTCCTGCCAGGGCTCTGTGAATAGCAGGAACCCATGGGCTGCTTTGAGGCTGGGCTGGGCCAGGCCTTGGACTGGAGAAGAGTGCTGACAGCCGAATGATGTGTTTCCATAATGCAGTAATGCAGTGGACCTTCGTAAACCACCCTGAGACCTGCAGGGATAGGGTGGTATACAAATGTAATAAATGAATGAATGAATAAGAAGAACTGAAAGGAGCTGTTGGCCCCAACCACCTCTGATGTGTGGTCTTGGAAGGTTTCTCAGAAAGGAATGCTGAATAAAGTTCCCCACTTCTGCATTAGCAGAACATCTTTGCAGGCTCAGAGATCAGGGGTGGGACAAGGTGGCCTGGGCCTGTTCCCTGCTCTAACAGTGGCTTATGCCGGACTCTGTCCTCCCTTGTGGCTGTGCAGGCAAAGCAGAAATAGATGGGAGGCCGTGTTGCTTTGGCTCTCCATGGGCTTCTTTTAAAAATATAATCAAACAATGTTACGCCATTGCTGGAGTGAGCTCCGAGGGAATGTATAGTGGCTCAGTGATGCCCTGCTGACGCCTAACACTCTGCCAGTGCGGTTTGCTGTTTTTGGTCCTTGAGTTAGAGAAGATGCCCCAATGCTGAGTTTATGACAGCATAATCATGGTGCTATACAAGCAGAGATCCCCATCAAAATCTGGTGCATGGATTACCATCCTTTATCCATCCAGCCAGAATGGTGCAGCGAGTGCAGGATCATTACAAGGTTTGTAGGGTATAAAAAAATAATTCCCTCCCTTTCTCTCTACACATATTGACTAGGACTAGAGTCAGGCATGCAATTGTCGCGGGAAGTGGACAGAGAAAGGCAACCACAATTATCTGTCATCTCTGATCAAGGATGATAGCAGAGCATGCAAATGTTATTTTCGCAGAGGCAACTGTGGGATGAGCGGCAATCCCTTTCAAACCACCTCTCTCGAAAACATGGTCTGTCTCAAACCCAATGAGTGAGGCATATGCCTTCCGCAAAGGCAAGTTACGCCCACCAGTGACATGCCAAACACACCAAGCTGAGCAAGGCTGATTGCCATCTGGAAAGACTGAGTTTCTTCTGCCTACGGCACTTTGTGGTTGGGTCTGTGTGCTTCAGGAGTTCCATGAGAAGTGGAACAATTTGACCATTCATCTAAAGTTATTCCATAGCATTCTGCCTTCAAGTACCTTTTGTTTACTACTAGAATTTTCATATAGAACTATGATGTTCTCTCCCATCAGATATACTGTGTCTTTAAAGCTTTAATGAAAACAAGCTATTAGAAGCCTTCTGCCAACATTTTGGTTGGCACATACTCTGGTCTCTCCTTTTCCTCCCCTGCAAGCTGACTGTTCCTCGCCCCTTCCTGTCCCCACAATCCTCTGAGGCACACCTGTCTGTCTTCCTGTTTATCAGTGTCTCCCCTCTCCCTGCAGGCGGAAGGGCACAGAGACCAGTTCACAGGGCTAGTAACCCTCTGGGTACCACGGCTGCTGCTTTCCCCCCTTGGGGCACAGGCTTTGGGCTGTCAGTCAAGCCCAGAAGATGCTCCAGTGTCTGCTGCCTCCAAACCCGTACAGACACCCAGGCCGGTTGGACACTCGAACACTGTTTTGCCAGCTTTGCCCAACAGCACGCCAAGCAGTAATAAAAAAAAATAATAAAATTTTATTTATACCCCGCCCTCCATGGCCAAGACGGCTATGGCTCAGGGCGGCTAACACTGAATATAAATACAGTAAAAACATTTTTTAAAAACAAAAAAACCCCAGTTGATTAAAATATGTTAGAATACAGTTTAAAATGCAGCTTAAAATGTAGCCTCGTTTTAGTGGTAGCCTATAGATCAAAGCCATAAGGGGAGAAAACGTAAAATATTCACCAGGGCTGGATGGTTCCCATTGCCGCAGCAAGCAAAAGCGGAAGTAAAAGTTCATGAGAGATCTTAGACTCTATCGAAGGCTGCACCCCAATGCCCAAGACCATCCCAAAGTGGGGATCAAGTCTTCTGTGTGATCAAGTTGTTAGATTTGACCCTGCTGATAGCTAACAGCCTGTGTCAAGAAGAAAGAATATGATGTGAAACCAAATGTGGAACTTTTCTCAGCAGCAATAACAGCCTTAAACAAAATATCTCCGCCGCCCCCCCCCCCGCCCCCGCCCATGGAAGTATATTCTTTATTTTAAAAAATGATATTTATTTTAAAAAAAAAATTAAGTTACAAAAGAAAAACAAAGTAGAAAAAGAGAAAAACAAGCCACTTCCAACCATACATATACAAATTCAAAATAAGAGGGAAAAAAAACAAAAATACACCACAAACATTTAAAAACATTTAAAAACAAATCCATTATTCTCAACTCCTCAACTATCATTACCCTCTTTCCTTGACCTCCTCCTCCTCCCCTTCCTTGTATCCTGGTTGTTAATTGTCACAGCAAATCCTTTCCATATTTCATAATATTCTGTCATTACATTACCTTAAACTATTTTAATCTTATCTTACTATAAAAACCTTGAAACTTAAAACTTAAATCTTATTTTTACCAACTTCTCATAACCATAATATTCTTGCATAATTCTTTAAACATTTTTACTAAAGCCAAGTAATTTCATTCCAACATTTTTCTAACATTCATCAATTTTGTAAAACAGTCCTAGTAGTAAAAAAGAGAAATAAAAACAAATCCAATCTTCATCCAGCGTCCCTTCCTCCTGGTCCCGGGTTTTGTCAGTCCTTGTTATCCCATCGATGTGGCACATTAACCTGGTATCCTAATATCCGAGGCCCTTAAGTCCCTTCCATGTCCCTTCCGCAGCTCTTCTTCATATTTATAGCTGTATTTTCCCTTGTCTCCTGCTCATTTCACTCGTGGGAACTCCAGCTTAGCAATATTTTTGACCCTTCTCGAGAGATCAGCCCCTTTTTCATAATCGACACTAAATTCCATGTGGTATTTAAAAACATGTTTCAAAATCCCTCCAAAATTGAGAGCCCCCACAATCCCAAACATCTCACGGCCCATTGCTAGACTTGAAAAGTCCAAACATCCCTGCATAGGAGGGTCTATCCAACCCCCCATTTCCAAACCAAACCAAACTTTTTCTTTCCAAATCTGGCTTTTTCCAAGTTCATTTGTCAAATCCGAAAGTTCATATTCCTGTTGGGCCTGTTCTGTCAGGGCACACTCCTGATTTAATTCCTGGGTGGGCTCCACATATTTTCCCACTGCCTGTTCAAAATTTCCCACTGCCTGTTCAAAATTTCTAATCGATCAGCCATCAAATTCGTCTTCTCATGTAGCTGTTCCAGTAGGGCATTTGTTTTATAGAAAGCACACAACAGAGCTTCTGAATACATTGTCCTGAAGGTCAGATGTCTATTCCCACTATTGTAATCTGTAACAACTGCCAGCTCCCAGGAGTTGGTTACAGTTCCACAGTCTCCCTCTAGGGAGAAAACTTCTATTTAATCTTTCTTTTAAAGACAAGTCTAGCAACAGAGTTTCCTTTTTTCAGATATTTTGTCAATATTTGTTCCTTTAAGGTGCGAAAGGAAACAATGGAATCACTATGTTTCTCTTCTTTTAGCTACTGTCAAAAGCGTTTGTCTCTGGTCAATGAGCTTCAAACGTCAGTCCTGACACCCCGCTCCAGGGTCAGGACGATGGAAAGTTACTTTACTTTAAACTCACTTCTGCAGGTTTAAACAGTCCAGAAAAGATCCCCCTTCTTCTCCTGCTGCTGAAGGGGGGTTCAACAATTTTAAATGATGAAAGCCAATCCTTTAAAAGCGATTTTTTGAGCTCTAGTTTACATTTTCTTTGCTTTATTCTGTCTACAAAGAAACGGAAGGCTGACTTCCTGTTTAGACCTTCCCGTTTCAGTACCAAATTGAAATAAAATTTTTAAGTCCAATTCCTTTCTGGTCGCAAGTCCTTATTTAAAGTCCAATTGTTCAAAGTTTAAGTACTCACGGGTGTTTATTTTAGAAGCCAAATTGTCCCAGGAAAAAGGCAGCGCTCTCCGGCAACGGCTGTGCGGCTTCGCTCCACGGAAATAGCAGTTGACTCACAGCACCACGCCACTTCCCCCTCTTCGCTTCGGAGCCCGTTAGTGGATTCCTTTGCGGGTTGGGGGGGTGCTAAGGGTGCCCGCTGAGTCCCATGGTCACAGGCTTCATCCGCCTGTGATTTTTAAAAGGGTCCCCGCTTCGCCGTAGCGGAAAAGGCCCGTTTCGCGCAGAGCTAGTCCCTCCTATTCAGAGGGAGTCCGCCATTGCCGATGGCGCCACCCCGGAAGTCCATGGAATATTCAATGTTGCCTCTACATCCAGACAAGCCTTCTCCACAGACTTCGGATTAGTTAGTCTAGATACGGGCAGAGATTTGCTCTCTGCGCTGGGCTATTACAATCACACACTTTGAATCATAGAATCATAGAATCATAGAGTTGGAAGAGACCACAAGGGCCATCGAGTCCAACCCCTTGCCAAGCAGGAAACACCATCAGAGCACTCCTGACATATGGTTGTCAAGCCTCTGCTTAAAGACCTCCAAAGAAGGAGACTCCACCACACTCCTTGGCAGCAAATTCCACTGTCGAACAGCTCTTACTGTCAGGAAGTTCTTCCTAATGTTTAGGTGGAATCTTCTTTCTTGTAGTTTGGATCCATTGCTCCGTGTCCGCTTCTCTGGAGCAGCAGAAAACAACCTTTCTCCCTCCTCTATGTGACATCCTTTTATATATTTGAACATGGCTATCATATCACCCCTTAACCTCCTCTTCTCCAGGCTAAACATGCCCAGCTCCCTTAGCCGTTCCTCATAAGGCATCGTTTCCAGGCCTTTGAGCATTTTGGTTGCCCTCCTCTGGACACGTTCCAGTTTGTCAGTGTCCTTCTTGAACTGTGGTGCCCAGAACTGGACACAGTACTCCAGGTGAGGTCTGACCAGAGCAGAATACAGTGGCACTATTACTTCCCTTGATCTAGATGCTATACTCCTATTGATGCAGCCCAGAATTGCATTGGCTTTTTTAGCTGCCGCGTCACACTGTTGGCTCATGTCAAGTTTGTGGTCAACCAAGACTCCTAGATCCTTTTCACATGTACTGCTCTCAAGCCAGGTGTCACCCATCTTGTATTTGTGCCTCTCATTTTTTTTGCCCAAGTGCAATACTTTACATTTCTCCCTGTTCAAATTCATCTTGTTTGTTTTGGCCCAGTTCTCTAATCTGTCAAGGTCGTTTTGAAGTGTGATCCTGTGATCCTGTCCTCTGGGGTGTTAGCCACCCCTCCCAGTTTGGTGTCATCTGCAAATTTGATCAGGATGCCCTTGAGTCCATCATCCAAGTCGTTGATAAAGATGTTGAATAAGACCGGGCCCAAGACAGAATCCTGTGGCACCCCACTAGTCACTCTTCTCCAGGATGAAGAGGAACCATTGATGAGCACCCTTTGGGTTCGGTCAGTCAGCCAGTTACAAATCCACTGAGTGGTAGCATAGTCACTTTGGTGATAACCTTTTCTCAGATAAAGAGCCCAGCACACAAGGTACTTAAAAGAGCTCAAATTTGTTTAGAATTCTTTAGGTGCCAGAGATTTAAATGTGCTTTGCACCTCTATCTTTCTTGGGAACAAGGAAAACCATGGATCAGAGGCCTTCATCAACTGGGTCTCCATTATATACCTTGGGGCAGGAGAGACTCTGACTTAACCCTTGGTTTGCCCTTTGGGGATACAGCTAGAACTTGGCAGCCTATGAAAACAATTCCCCCGTGAGACTGAAGCTTGTGAACCTTCCTCCCACTGGACCCTGTGGGAGGGACATGAGTCATCCCCACTTTCTATATGCAGGCGGCACTTAGAACTGCTGATAAAGGAGTGCTTTGGGTTCTAATCCCCTTGCAATGAGACACACAGCATTGGACTATCACACTGAGCAGTGAAGCAGAACCCGGTCATTTGGAGCAGCTTGGCAGAGAAGCCTCCTGCAGTTGGAGTCTCTTAAGAGCAACAAAGGAAAACTGCCCTAGATTGCCAGGCCTCAGGTGGAGAGTCCACCTCGACAGGCAGGGGCTCTCCCCTAGATAAGACACAGACAACCTTCCAGTCCTGCTATCTGAAATTCTTTAACTGCAGATACTGGGGGTCGACTCTGTACCACTAAGGTATTTCTCACAAATCTCCAGCGTTAGAATTGGGAGCTAGGGAAAGAGGGTAACATCAGCAGCATCTGATTCCACCAGGACAAAGTTAAAAACTGGTTCACCCCTGTCCTTGATGATCATAAATTAGGGCTTCAAAAGGTTCATATATTTGGACTGTCACAAAATATCCAGAGGATGTGTAGATAAAACTTGCTGATACTCTAGGAGTCAAATCAATATTGTATTCCATTCCTGGAAGAAACAAGGCAGATACTTAGATGCAGGTCAGCATGAATGTGCCTCCAATGGAAAGGACTCTGATTTGGGAATCAGAAGCAGAGGTTAAAAAAGGAACCTGGGATATGAAGTTTCACCAGCTGTTGAGGCTTATTTTCCTACATGTTACTAGCTAAAAAAATTATGCATGGCTTAAATCCAGGAATTTTAATCTTAAAATTTCTGCCAGCTCGTAATGTCTGTGATTCTAAGCAGAGCATTTTCACTACTTCCAGGTTTAGTGGTTTGCATAATTAGGTATGACCACCACCTGCCTTTCCTAGGACTTGTCCAAAGTCCTGTGGACCTGATCTTGCCCTACTAACTGACCTGCACTCCCTTATTGCGAGACAAGTCTCACTTCAAGTCAGTTACATCTAAGGCTTCCTTAGTGTGCTGTTTCTTCAGGCCAAAATGGATGCAATGATCATGCCCAGAATTTGATCCTAGTTTGATGTAATGGTTTGGATGGAATTCAGTATCACAGCCAGAATTTCCTGGTTTGGACACAGAAGGAAACTTTGATTTAAAGCAACTATGATATGAGGAGAGCTGGTGCAAACGGTGAGCCCGGACAAGTGTGAGCCCCTGATGCTTGTTCCTGACTTAGTAAGCCATGGTTCTGCATGGATTGCCTATTCTTTCCAAGCCCTCTGGGATCCTCTTGCCCTCGCGCCCTGTCTATCTCCCTCATTTGCCATTCCTTTCTTTTGTTTTTAAATTGTTCCATCAGTCTAAAAAAAGTATGTTTATATCTATCTATCTATCTATCTATCTATCTATCTATCTATCTTGTGATGCCAAAAGGTTTGACACACAAACAAACCTGGCGTGTAATTCATCCTTTAGAAAAATAAAATAAAACTGACCACAAGCAAGTTTCCTTCCCCCACAGCCAAGCTGCCGTTGTGGCTGTGGAGGACTGAACAGGGTCCGTGTAGCCCTTGGCCCCAAGAGCCCTCCCCAACGCTGCTTGGTGATGCCTGGATGGAGAGACAGGGCATTGCAAGGTCTCATCAAGAGAATGGCTGAAACGAAGATTACCCAGTGAAGAAGCTCAACTGCAGAATAATTTGTGAAAAGAAAAATACATAATGTATTTTAAAGACAAGTGTTCAGATTTATTTGGAAATTCACAGTTTCTACTGGCACTACAAATCTGTAGTTACTTATTACAAGTTCTAGTGCCTCAATTTTGTATTCTTCACGCAAACAGTATCACCATTATGATTGCCATTCTGGTTTGGACCCACTTCTTAATCCTTGTTATTAAACAAACAAACAAACAAACAAACAAACAAAGCCAAACCCAGGTCCACTTCTTTGACTGGCTAGCTGTGCATACTTAAGTTCATCACTGTAAAAAAGTACTCAAACATGGAATTTTCAAAACAGGCTTTAAATAAGTCACATTACGAATGATATTTGGAAAAAGACGTTAGCTCTTTCAAGAAAAGAAAACAAAGGAGGATCTACTAAAAGTGCTTAATAAGTTAACTTATACAACAACCTCTAAACTCTCAAAATGGACCTTCTATCACATTCACTCTCATGTACTCACATTCCAGATATGCAATTTTTTAAAAAACTTCACAAGAGAAAGTACAAACGCATACTGGCACACACACAAAGAACATAAGGTCATTCAATACAAAAAGCAAACTTTATAAACATACTTTTTGAAACAGAAAATAGAACGTGAAGCTTGACAAACTCACTGGTGCATGTCTACTGACTGGCAGTGTGCATAAATGGTGCATAAACTGGCATAAATGGTTCTTTCCTCCCAATTTATTAGCGCAGGAAGACAACTAAAGGTCATAATGTTAATTATCTCTGTTAATCAAGTCAGTTGGGCTACAAAACATGTTTTAAGTAATACATCCAAGCAGGGATACTGTACCATCAAAGATGTATCAGCCACAAGTGAGCTTGCAAAGTGGATCTCAAAGAGAAAGTCCACCCGGCGGCATTTCCACAGTATCCCAGTCACATTACTTAACCTCACTGGAAGCCAGCATCTTCTTCCCTAGCACTGTAGTGTTGTATTTCCATAAAATTTGAAGGTACAAATAAAATAATTCTCCCTTCCAGTGGTATTATAAATAGACAAAAAGGCACATAAATATGGGAAGGTGCTAGAAACAGGGGAACAGCAATATGGGAAACATTTATGCTTTAACTCTGCTCCACCCAAAATGAGTTTCAAGACCTCACCGTCAGCAATTGTGAAAAACACTGTATAAAATGAGTCCCCACCCTGCCATCTCCACCCATCCCAAAGTCATCCACATAGAAAATCAGCCTTGAAAAAGCGGAGGCTTATTAACTAAGGGTGGTTGCTGCCACAGTCCTATCTATTTGCAAAAGAACCAACGTACCTTCTAAATGTTTCCCAATTAGCCAACCCCTCCTTCCCTGTCAACCCAAATACTACAAGATTTGTCGTACAAAAAGCTCCCATTAGGAAGAGTTCAATTAGTTTTAAAGGTGCCCAGAAACAGCTGTGACACCGAGTGTTCCCACGGTTAAATCCTTGTTTCCTTTGATGATATCGTGCAGACTTGGCAAGGATCCCGTCTTAGTCTGTATTAATGTTTTTAGGAGCTTCTCCTGCTCTGGGGCTTTAGACCGCCTTCGTTTGAGAGCCCTCTTCTCAGTTTTTGTCTTTTGGATTTGTCCGTTACACAAACCTGCACACGCCGAAATGCCACAGAAGTAGGACTCCTCAGACTGTGATGAGGTTTCTGAGCTCCCTTCCGACGGGGGACCTTTGTATGAAGAGTGATACACATCGCCAATATTAGAGAAGTCTCTCTGATTGGTAAAGGGCTTCTTGCTTTTTATTTCGCCATTAGCTACCTGCTGCACTGGTTCTGCTACTGGCCTGACGGTTTCAATTTTTTCACTTTTATATTTACAACGTTTCTTCTAAAAAAAGAAAAACAGAATTGGTAAGTAAAGGCCCTCAGTTCAGAGGCAGGATTTTCCAGGTCCACTTCCAATACTTTCTGCAAATTCTTTTATGTGCAATGTAGCAGCAGCGGCAGCAGCAGCAGCACACTCTAGCCATTTCTTTAAAAAGCATGATTCACTTTAAATGCAGACATGCACGCACACATAGTGAGTTTAGAACAAATGCCTTTCTACAATGTACCTTTTTTTCTGGGGAAAACTTCAGTGGTTCTACAATGTACAAGTCCTCTGGATCCACTAAAAGATAAGGGTCAAAAATCAGACTCTATAAGCAGACCACCAGCTTCACACAGAACTGTTATTCTCCCTTTATTAATACAAGGTTGAATAGAGCCAAAGTATTTTGGAAGGTCAAGCAAAGGGCTCTGAGAGGAAATCAACAGACCAAGAAAATAAGCTCCTCCTATTCCAGATACAGAAGTCAAAATCGGCCTTCCCAGCCCTGGCAGAGGGGTCTTCCTCCATCTCAGAGGGAAAACTCCTGCTACCTGCTTTTTCCTGGGCAATCTGAATTTAAATCAGCTTTGGTGGATGAGAGAACTCATTTGAATTAGAGAGAACTCATAGCATTAGGTTGTGCAATTTGGAATTGCAAAAGCAGTGGGGGGAGGATACATGTACCAATAGACAGGGCCTTCTCGGTGGTGGTGCCCTCCTGGTGGAACACCCCGCCCCCCTTCAGATGTCAAGGAGATAAAGAACTTTACAACTTTGAGAAGACATCTGAAGGCAGCCCTGTATCAGGAGGTTTTTAATGTTTGACGTTTTATTATGCTTTTATATGTGTTGGAAACTGTCCGGAGTGGCTGAGGAAACCCAGTCAAATGGGTCGGGTATAAATAATGAAATCTAGTGGAGGGAGGGCTTTAACTGCCCATACTTTTACCAAGTTGCTTCTAAATTAAACCAACATGAGATCTTTCTCCATACAAAACAGATATTGTTCTGTATTTGACACTGTACAGATTTTACAATACACCCAGAGACAGGTAGTTGAACCTGTGACATTCCTACCTTCCTTACTATTCAGCTGAAAAGACTGAGACCTGGTGAGTGGAAAGGAAGTTCTTCTTTTCAAACTCATATCATCATAGGAAGAAACACATCTGTGGATGAAAATACACAGCAACTTCAGATCCAGATGGGAAATAATTATTTCATTTCTTTCTGTCATTCCTTAGGAGTTCCTTGTCCTAAACCCAACTTCAAGACTTCCAACCCGGAGAATTCCCAGAATTCTGTCCTTTCAACTTCAAGTTGAAAGAGCTTAAAGAGCTTAAAAGCTACCAAGAGCACAGGTTCCATGAAGCATCAGTACCGGGGAAAACTGATGTGGATTAAATAGCCATCAGCATATTTGTAGCTTTATGGTAAGCTAGCCATTGAATCTGGAATATCTATCAAGCATGCCTTTCCAAATAATCTTCGCTGGACATAATATGCAAATCACACCACAGATGGCATTTTCACAGGCATTATCTGCGAAAGGAAATTTTCTTGCCATAAGTTCTTATTGGCCGACTCCCAGAGGGAGGGTTCAATCAAGAGGATCCTCTTGGAGGTAAATGAACCAAATAATAATTTAAAAAGTGTAAAAAACAAAAGATCCAAATGTCATTCTAACCAGTGCATCCCGCCCGCTGCCCCTGCATGGCAAAGCCTGTATCCCTAGAGGGGTGGTGGTCAGGAATTTTGCCTGTCCCATCCGAAGGGAGGAGCCACCCCAGACTAAGGACAGCCCTCCAGGAACCTCTGGGTAATAAAAACATTTTTTTAAAAGGTGCAACTGGTGCCAAACATGAAGAAAACCTTCTATGCCTTCCTGCTCGCAGGAGACAGGCAGGAGTCAAGCTGACAGTCCACGACTACCACCCCAGGCGAATAGTGAGGCGAAGGCCTGTGAAGAGGACCGTGGTCCACCAAAGTACAAAGAATGTGAACTGGCATTAAGAAAGGCCCCTTTTCTCATGTGGCTCCAGGAGAAAATTCCAGAAACTTTGGGATATATAAAGCAGTGCCTTTCCTGGATGGGCCTACCAGAATCAAGGCACTTAGACCCTTTGCTCCATCCATCTGCAGTGTCTGCAGAAGATAAAACATCAACGTTGTCGTATTTTGCAAAGTATGCTGGGAGGCCAAGGAGCCACCTTGCAAATTTCCTCCAAGGAAATATTGTCCTGAAAGGCTGCCGTGGTGGCTGCCCCTTGCAGAGAGAATATCCGGTCATCCCTGCAGGAGATGATCTTCCAGGACACAGGGAAGCAAGAATTAGGCACCCTCTCCGCCACTCTCTTTTCAAGGTCACCCTTAACCAGTGTGCACACATAAGTCCTGGAGCCCAAGTCTCCCATCCATATATAAAATCACACAAGCGAAAACAGAATAAGTGGCAACTGCATCCATCTCAAAACTATGGTGTAAGGACCCTTCTACCCTCGCAGGGCAGACACAGCATATGGTAACAAATGCTGAGAAAACAGATGATTGGGGAGGGTCAAGGAATGAAAGGTCATTACCCCCCTTCTTTCTCCTCAACCTCACAGTGTCTATGACAACAGGGTCTCACACCAAATGTAACTGACTTATAGAAAGGGCTCTGGGCATTGAAAGCAGACATTGTGTGTATCCTTGTGGTCTATGAAAACCAAAAGAAAATAGAAAGGTGGAGGGGGGGGACATTAAAAACAATCAAACATTGATAGAATTAAAGCTATATAAACGAACAGGGACACAAAATCTATTAAAACCATAAAAATAATTACAATAAAGCAGCATGGCCCCAGCCCTTTCCCGAAAAGCAGCCAGTTCCCAGCAGCCTGTTGGAACAAGGTGGTCCTTCACCTGCTGATGGAAGGACCACAAGGAGGGAGCCAGTCTGGCTTCCCTAGGGAAAAAGTTTCCAAAGCTGTCTGGCAGCAGACACCACCAAGAAGACTGACAGTGTCAAATAACACTCTTATATCCATGTTCTTCCTTAGAATTAAAAAGTCAAAAGTAAAGTAGAAACACGTTACCTTTTCGGACTAGGATAGTGATTACTTTTGGGAACTTTTGAGAAGTAGTCATAATTTAACTCTGATTTATTTTTGCAACGCTGAAGAAAGAGCATCAAACCCAAGATGGCACAGAGTATCAAGGAAATCACAAGATAGCTGTGGCGATCAGAGACCTAAACAAGGACAGATTTTAAAGGGTTAAATGTGAAATACATACATGTAGCTGAGCGGCTGAAGCAGGCATGATGTGCTGGCCTGGATGAAGTGCTAGCACATTTCTATCAACAAAAGTATGAGATCCATAGAGCAACTGCTGAGAAAGGCCTACCACCTCCACAAATTTCTCATTATCTGGACATATACTGGGGTCTCTCTATATTCTAAGGCCTTTGGGCATTACTTTGTTTTTACAACCGTCTCCAAGAGGTCCAGTCTTGTGGTCTTAGTGCTCAAGGCAACCAACCTTCCCCAAACGCTTAGATCTGAACCCCTGAGTGACCATCCCAGGGCTTCTGGAACCAGCACACCACCTCCAGGAGCCCTGGAATGCTCTCACGAGGCCACCTGAGTCCCTGTGAGCATCCCAGCACCCAGGGAGAGGAGAGCTTAAAAACTCCTTTTGCACCGGGGAAGTTACTTCAAATTTATCTGTAAGCAATCTGTTTTACTCAAATACAGAACTATTTACACGGCAATCTACAGTTGGAGTTCTAGGTTTAGCATTCCATTTGCAAAACATTGTTCCACATTCAGATTTTTACCTGTCTTTTTAGCTCAGTCACAGTTAGCGACAAATTGGAGACTAGCTGTGTCATGTTGGTCAGCTGAGCCTGCAGCAGCTGGATGGCCTCTGTCTGCTTCAAATCCTAGGCAAAGAAGAGAAGTGAAGCATTCTTTCCCTTTCATTCTAGCTTTCCATACAAGATAAGGCACGCCCTTGTTTAAAATACTAATGAGGACACAAGTCCAAGGCTTAAAGAACAAGATGAGGGAATAAGAAATACCTAGAACATGTGAACAAATAAACTAGGGGTTCCTTCTTCACAGTCTTTAGATCGCCCTTAATTTTTTGCTTAGCAGACCAAATGTCTGGTGCATAGGAAAATTCTGCACTGAGAACAATGTTCAAGATCTCAGCTCTATTCCCCACCTTTGTGGGGTTCTTTAAAGCTTCTCTGTTGTTATGGCACTCAGGTCACTCCAGTTCACAAGATGCTGCTACAGGCTGCAGACAGAAAATGTAGTTGGACCCAAAGTGTGTCTTTGGCTTCATGAGCTAAGCAGCAGTTCTGAATATTCTGCTTCAGAAGAAGTCCACTAAGTGGAAGGGGAAAGCATCAACTACAGGAAATACAGAAAAAATGGCCTTAGCTACAAACTAAAACCAAATAAGGCTGTTTACTCCGCAGCCACCATTTAAAATTACAGAAGGGTACTAACAGGAATCCATCTACAAAAAACATGAACTGTCAGCTTTTTAAAACTTGCACATACACAGGGCCGACTTTCTGAAGGCTCGCTATGTGAAAATTCACTTATCCGAAAGTAAGGACATAGTACTATGCACACTGCAGATTCAAAACAAGACAACCTTTTTTCACTTCCTCGTTTGCCTTTTGCAGTTTGGTTGAGAAGCTGTAGTGATGAGCCAGCTCAGCCCAGCAGTTCCATCGACCAAAGCATTGCTTAGATCCCCTAATTGCTTCCAGCGGTTTGAGACCCGCGGGCGCTGCCTGGCACTTTTTTTTTTTTAAAAAAAGAAGCTGTAGTGATCTGTACTTTAGTAAAGCCCCAGAGGGTTGTCCTTGGCTTTTTCATCATTTTGGAGGCAAACTTCCGTGGTTTAGAAAATTTCCCATAGGACCCAATGGAAATAGTCAATTCACTATGCGGACCGTCAACTAATGGACTATTTCCAGGAAAAATGAGACCCACGAGTACTTAAGAGGCAAATAAAGTGAAACCTGAGTCTGAGCTGCACATTTTAATAATAATAAATATTACTTTATTTCGCTTTTATTTCATGGTTAGGCCCCTTTTTGCGTAATTACAAGAGAAACAAGGGTGCACCCAGTAGACATACCTGCTGTTTGGCTATGTGTGAAGTATTCTGAAGTTTTATTATAGTTTTATTAAAAGCCTTCTGCATTTCTTCCATTTGTTTGCGATATCTACAAAGTGAGTTAAACAGAAAGGTTAACCTTTTGAATTAGAATAACTTTTCTGTGTATAAGACTAGGTTTTTCCCCTTAAAATTCATGCTAAAAAGTGGGGGTCATCTTATACATGGGTAGTGCATAGGGTGGACATTTGATTGGTTGCTGCTGCGGCTGTCAGCAGCTATTGTGTGTGTTATTGGTTGTTGCGTCAATGGGTGGTATTGATTGGCCAACGCTGTGGCAATTGGGCGGCGATTGGCAGCTTCTGCCAGCAAGGTGACAGACGGGAGACGGATTTTGCGACGTGTGCGGCTGAGCGATTTTTGGCACCCCCCCCCAAAGAAGCTCAACAACTTTTTGCCGTCTCCCCCCATGTTCTGAAATTTCAGTCCCCCCAAATAGGTGTCTTATACATGGGGGTGTCTTATAGACGGAAAAGTACGGTAGTTGCTTATGTTGCTGCTGCACCCTGACACTTACAATGATATTCAGTGGTACCTCGGGTTACATACGCTTCAGGTTACATACGCTTCAGGTTACATACGCTTCAGGTTACAGACTCCGTTAACCCAGAAATAGTACCTCAGGTTAAGAACTTTTCTTCAGGATGAGAACAGAAATTGTGCTCTGGCGGCGCGGAGGCAGCAGGAGGCCCCATTAGCTAAAGTGGTGCTTCAGGTTAAGAACAGTTTCAGGTTAAGAACGGAACTCCAGAATGAATTAAGTACTTAACCCGAGGTACCACTGTATACAGTTTTCTCTATACCCCTTGAAAAGGATACTTTCGTAAGCATCTAGCTTAAATCATTTTTCTAAATGTGCACAAGGGCCCTTTGCACCTTGAAGCAAAATTTGACGTTTGGAACACGCAGAAGAAATCTTGCCCAGTGCAGTTAAGCTGCACTTCCTGGCCTTCATGCTTTCCTAAGAACACTTGATGTGTATCACTCTTAAACCACTGAACGTACTTTAGCTAACAGAAAGTTCCTCAACTGTCTTAGTAAGGAAACAGGAGCACCCCTCAAAAGAAGCTTAGAGAACCACCTCCCTAGGAATGTGAGTGATCTCCTTTTAGAGCTTTTGGAGCTGCTCAGCTCATACTCAGGGTGCAAGCAGTTAATTTAGTCCCACCGATTTTCTTCATCAACTTTTAAAACGTCTCAGAAGTGAAAATACAAGGCTATGGAAAGCTAGACCTACCTTTGACTCAGTTCTTCCAAGTAGCGGCTGCTGAGAGACATATTCACTTCCAGGGCTTTAATGCGGTTATTGAGTCTCATAAACACAGACTCTTTTTGATTTGATCCGTGAACAAGATTCCCATTTCCATAACCCAAGTCTGTGGAATTCTGCAATTCGGCATAAAAATCTGTAGCTGTCCGTGGCAATCCAGAAACAGGAATAGCAAGAAATGCTTCCTCAGCTGTCTGTTCATCGTCCTTTATTTCTAAAGATGATGTTTCCACAAGAGACACCACTTGCTTTTCCGCATCTGAAGAACTAATTTTTGCTTCGCCCTCATAGCTTTCTGCAGCTACTGTACATTCAGACTGTGGAATAGTCTCTGTCGGTTTTGAAATAATTTCAGTTGAGGTTTTTTCATCTGTGTTCATGTCACTGAATTCAATTACAATGCTGGTTGCAGATGGATTCTCTGCAGCAGACCCAACAACTCCATCTTCTTCAGTAGGACTTTCCTCTTGTGAAGGGGCCTCTGGGGTTTCAGATACGGCTTCAAGTTTTGTAGGTTCCGAGGATGCCTCAACTGTGGACAGGAACTCAGCTCCTGTGGTAGCATCCAAGAGAATGGACTGAGACACAGTTTGTGGGTGACTGGGCTCCAGTTCAAAAGTGCCCTCTGTCTGATTGATCACAGCCCCATTCAAGATGCTACTTAAGACACTGACAACAGTTTCAGATGGCTCTGCAATTAAAGTGTCCAATTTCTCTGAAGGATGTTCATGCACCAAAACTGGCAACGATTTGGTTGGAACTAGCTGGGCCTGCCAAGTAGCAGCCGAGTAGTATTTTTCCCAACTAGTGTCACTTTTACTACGGTAACGGTGAAGTGTCGCTACCACTGAACACCACTTGTACAGATACTCTGAGAAACTGGAAATGCAACAGACTGTCAATAGTTCGTAGCAATAGATTTGTGTTTCAGACTCAAACCATGGTATGTCTTCTTCCTGCTCATCACTGGGCAGTAAGGTCACTGTGGACTGAATTGCTTCCTCTTCATATTCATGGACTAACTGAACAATCGGGCTCTCTCTTGTTGCATCTAAGACTAGCAGCTCTTTATCCATTTGTAGGATCTCTGAAGTAACAAGCCTATAAACAGAAGTTTAGAAGTACACATCAAGATGCAGTTTAGCAGATCCCTAAAACCGTTACTGCCATTCTCCTAACCTACCCCTAAAGAGTCTGGCTTCAGAGATCTGCCCTGCAATTCCATATATGGCCAGAGTTTCATATCAAGGTCTTGTATACTACAGGATCACTGAGGGTCAGGAAGTTATTTTTGGACCAAATATATTTTAAATTTGACTGCAACTGTTCTGGGAAATGGGTCAAGAGTGAGAGAGAATGGAGCTCCCCCGCCATACAAGGCACTAGGTGAAGATTTAAACTATTCCAAGGCAGAGCTGTATTGCAGGGCCCAGGAAAGGCTGACTAAGGGCTGAGGTCATGCTGGGAATACAAGCCAGGGAAGGATGATCAAGCCAAGAGTAATGGACGTGGGTGAGGACAGAGATGGGGAAGCATGTGGGCTCTGAACTTAATGGTACTTTTGATTGTACAGTATTTATATTATTTGCAATCTGCTAAAAAAGACTCTGGGTCTGGGCAGCTTCAAGTCCAACACATAAGCAAATCACTTACTCTAAGGAGGGAATGGTAGTGGGCTCCGGCAGTTTAGGTTCTGGCCAGGAAGTGGCAGTTGTATTTTCAGAGACACTTTTATTTCCTATCAAAGAGACATGCAGATTTATAAGACACCACATTCCATATAAGACTGTTAAATACAGAGAATAAAAATAAAAACTAATGGCCTGTGAAATGGACTTGTGATTTTTTTTAAAAAATCCTCCTCTGTAACCAGGCAGGGCTGTTGGTTGAAAGTTTAATGCAAAGGGACAGCCATCCTCCTTTACCTCCCAAAACCAAGCCCAGAATCTTGAAAGGAAATGCCTCATTCCTAACTATAATAAGAACCATAGCAGAAAAACAGAAGGACAAGGACAGGGAAGGAGGGCCTTGAAATAGACTTCCAAACTAGTGTGTTTATACAGTCCTCAAGTCTAGTCTCTGCTGCCCCATACACTGTAGTTGGCTGCTAGGTCAAACACTCCCTGTGAGCAAGGTCATAATGCAGAGATGCAGCATACGCTTTTATCATCTAATGGTCAGGGGCTCAATCCCAACATCTTCAGGCAGGTCTGGGATTGAAAGACTCTTCTCTGCAAACTCAGACAGCCACTGTTGGTTTGACCAGGCAATACTGAACTAGACAGCTAGCCCTGGAACAAATGGACCCAGCCGTAAACCTATGGAAAGAACAACATTTCTCAAACTCTGAGAAAACTGCATTTCCATGTAGAAGGCTGTTTTCAGCAGGCAACTCTTAAGAGTATACAGAGCCATAGCTGAGAAATGGAGTTTTGAGAGAGCATTCAGAGCAGTGCTCAGATCCCATGTAGAGAGCTGGAGAACTATGGGGAGGACTGAGAAAAGCTGCTTGCCTTAGAAGTCTCCATCCATACAGATGTAGTTAGGCATTTCTCTAGCATCAGCCCGGACAGTGAGGTCCAGCTCCGAGGCTCCTCTGGTGGTTCCCTCACTGCGAGAAGGGAGGTTACGGGGAACCAGGCAGAGGTTTTAGAAGACATCAGAAGGCAGCCCTGTATCAGGAAGTTTTTGCTGTCTGACATCTTATTATGTTTTTATATGTGTTGGAAGCCGCCCAGAGTGGCTGAGGCAACCCACTCAAGATGGGCAGTATATAAATATTAAATTGTTGCTGCTGCTGCTGCTGCTATCATTATGTCATCCAGGTTAGGGTACTCCGGCACCCTGGACACAGGTGTGCTAAAACAAACCATGACAATTACAAACAAAATGGGACTGTGTAGTACTGAAAGGGTCTGCCTGCGAAACTGAAGCATAAGAAGCTCCTCTGCCTCTGCAACTGGCAGATTGGTAGCCCACTAATGGCAGAAGTTCTCATCAGCAGTGCACTAACAGGGGTCTTAGAGGTGCCATCCAAGAGTGACATCTGATGAGGGGACGTAGGATTGCGCACACATTTCAGATTTTTTGGGAGGAGTCTGTTTAAGCAGCCACAGACCAGGCTCCCTGAGGGTGTCCCAAAAAAACGACACAACAACCCCACCCTGAGGAGACTCAGGTTGTGGGTAAGTAGATCAACCAATAAAATGGTGAATTGGCCATAGGAGGACACAGCGCAGAAGGAAAGGGGTTTGCATGCTGCATGGATCTCTGGAAGGCTACTGCCATCCAGAGCCAGAACTGCTTAGCACAGCTACTGGTGCATCTACCAGTGGCTTAGATAACCGGGGGAAAGTCTTCACTATGGAGAAGTGGAAAGAAAATCCAGCTGGAGCCGGAAAAAACCAACCCCACATCTATTTAAAAAGGTCACTTCACTTTAACAAGTTGCAATAATTTACCTTGGTCAGTTGAGTCTTCTTCAGTTTTTGCTCCAAGTATATTAGCAGCAATATTCACCATATTCAAAATGGCATCTAAAAAAATAAAAGGATCAAATAGACAAATTTTAAAAATCACAAGAAAGCCTGCAGAAAACCAGTCTTTTCAAAGCTGCTCCTTCCCACATGCGTTTCACTGTCTGGTGTGCTGGTGCAGTTTCTGGGTAGCACATTATGCACACATAGCCAAACTGCGCACCCCAAATGTAGTGCTGAGTCCCAAGTGTGGCCAAGGCTCAGTTCACCCAAGCACACCCTCCCCAGGGGTGGCTGAGCAGCATCCGCCCTGCAGAGAAAGTGCTGGGGGAAGTCCAGGTATTTGCATTTAACAGCCCATGTCAAGCAAGATCACTCTTCAAACCAACCATTTGCCTGTGTTTCTCAGAACTGAGAAAGTAGTTATCTTTGGACTCAGCTATTCAGTGGAACCTCGAGTTAGAGATGCTTCAGGTTACAGACTCCGCTAACCCAGAAATAGTACCTCAGGTACTATTTTTGCTTCAGGATGAGAACAGAAATCGTGCTCCGGTGGCACAGCAGCAGTGCGAGGCCCCCATTAGCTAAAGTAGTACCTTAGGTTAAGAACAGTTTCAGGTTAAGAATGGACCTCCAGAACGAATTAAATTCTTAACCCGAGGTACCACTGTATTAGTAAAAATAAAACATTATAAATGCATTATAACACTGTGACACCAGATGGCGCTTTAGAGCTGAAATCGGAATGAAATTTTCCACTGTGAGCTTTAAAACGGTTTTTCCCAAGCATTTTCAGAGTGTTCTTAGTAGCTGTGTAGATGCAGCCTTTGTTAGACAGCAGGAAACTATTGCTGCACTGAGTTCCAGAGAGTCAACCCAAACCAAAACTGAACCAAGTTGCTTGATTGGTCTTAGCCACTTGCCCCATTGTTAGTACAGTGGTGCCCCGCAAGACGAACGCCTCGCAAGATGAAAAACTCGCTAGACGAAAGAGTTTTCCGTTTTTTGAGTCGTTCCGCAAGACGAATTTCCCTATGGGCTTGCTTCACAAGACGAAACGTCTTGCAAGTTCTTGCGAGTTTGTTTCCTTTTTCTTAAAGCCGCTAAGCCGCTAATAGCCGTGCTTCGCAAGACGAAAAAACCGCAAGACGAAGAGACTCGCGGAACGGATTAATTTCATCTTGCGACGCACCACTGTATCTGAGGGGAGGGGGAAGAGGAAGGAATTCTTCCATCTGCCCAAACAGATGGTCACACAAGCCCAGCTCTCAGCCTAAGGTGATCCAATTAGCTCCAAGGAACAAGTGGGGAAGTAGACCCAGGTCTCCCCAGCCCCAGACTAGCCACTACACAACGAGATAATGTGCAAGTGGAAATCACGGAAATCTTTACAAGCAATGCTGCTTCTGTTAGAGAAATTTCCAACTTTTCCATACAGCTGGCAAATGTCTGTCTCTGCCCTTTATGCATTTCAAGCTAAATTTCTGGACTCTTTCCTACATGGATTCTAAGAATGTGTAGAGTACCTTAGCTCCCCCTCAAAAACACATCCCTGTAATTACTCACTTGTGGCAGAGCCAAGAAGATTTTTTGAAGATTTCTCTTCTCCTGCATTGTAGTCCAAAGGATAATCTGTTTACAATAGAAGAAAACACTTAATTGCAAATCACACACCTTTTTATCTCAAGAGCACTTCATAAAGTGACTAGAATAGATGGTGCTAAAATTTTTGTATGTCATCTTTCTATTAAAATACTCCCAAGACAAAATATTAACTTCTTCATGTCAAATCCAGGTCGAAAGCTCTCTGCCCCTCGAGAGCCCTTGGGGAGGAAGGCGCTGCCCTTGCCTCTTCTTAGCCCATCGCTGCCCCAGCAGGACTGCTCTCTCTCCCCTGCCCTCTGCCACCCCAAGGAAAGCCGCCTGCCACTGCAAAGGGGAAGCTGCTGCCTGACGCAGGAGCCCATCCAGAGGTGTCCAGCTGAGGATGTCTCTCACTGCAATTTGTAAAATGAAGCCCCCCCCCTTCCCCAGTGCCTTGTGGGTCTCACCCTGACCTCATCAAGTTCCGGCTGAGACTCAAAAACTGCCCCTAGGTATGGCTTTTGCCATCATAGAGTTGTGGTGATGGGAAAATCTGCATTGGGCTAAACTGCCTTTTTAATGAAACTTATGGAGACAAGGTTCTAGACACAAGGAGGCATAGTTCTGTCAAAATATATTCCAGCCTCCTAGCCAAATTTTCATGTCTCCAGTCATCTTACTTGTGGGGGCAGAGGGAAAAACATGCAGTCAGTATTCTGCCCAATTGACTGTGAAACTAAATCTCTTGCCTTACAATGCTATGAACAATGAATGCAAACATGATGAGGCTAACTTACAAGGCACAAGAGCCTTCTTTTTAATTTTGATACAATTTTATTAATATTTAGTAAAACTGAAGCACTTTAACAAATCTAGCAAATTACAATCTTGCTGCTCTGCTACTGTTTGCTGGACTTTGGGCCCCTTTGAAAAATGTTCCTGGATATGGGTCTTTTTAAAGGTGTAGACCTTTGAAGGGAAAGCCCATGGCTCATGGAAGGATACTAAAAAAAAAATCAGGAATTGTAAGCCTAGGGAAGGTGAATCTGACAGAATCTGTGCAATTTGCACCATTTATTCTGCATAATTAATTCCATTTCTGCTGATCTTGCAAGAAATTAAAGGTTTTTGTAAGGCACTAAATCCCGTTCTCTGACTGCAGTCTTATTCAGCCACTTCTCTTACTGAAATCTCACCAGGTTTAGGAAATGCACTTTCTGGCCCTTATAGTTTGCAAAGGTCTGCTTAAAATTTGCTTCAATTAACCCCTCAGCCCGAGTTTTCACAGCTATAGTTTTAGATCAATATCACAATGATCTCAAAGGTAATTGCAATATACAAAAAGCTCACCTCACCATTTCTAATCCTTCACCATGGCTGGTCTTTGTCAGGCTTCCTCCCTGTCCAACTTAGTTTCCTCAGTACTTCTTTTAGCCCCCTTGCCTGCCCAGCATTCTGGGTTCGCTTATTATTTAGAAATGATTAGCAAAAAATTCAAGCTAATCTTAAATTGTGACCAGCCTGCTTCCTTACCATAGTCTTCATCAAAAAGCTCTTGCCTTTCAGACTGGTACTGTGAATCAGCTATTTCTTCATATTCTTCAACCATGCTAGTTCCAAACACCCTGTAAAAAAACGTGTTTAATTAAAATGGAAACGGAGGCAGTTTTCATCTCCTCAGAGGGAGTTTGTCTACCTGGTATCCTGTGTAAAACTGAGATGCATAGCAGATGAAAGCTCCCACTGTTTCAAGACTTCACATGTTTCACAACTTTATAGATAAAGCCAATTAGTTCTCAAGATATCTGTTACAGTGAGTGTTATCAAGTCTTTCTATATAAATGGCTTTTGCAAACACCAATGCGTTTTTGAAACTCAGTGGCTGGGGTTATTAGTTATTTGGGGAGTGGAGTGGGGGGCGGCAGCACCAGAAAAATATGTTTCACGGGGACAGGAGACTAGATGCATCTGCTCAATTTCATCAACTATTACCTTATAAGGCTTAAAGGACAAAAGTGTTCTGATCCAAAATGTGATACCAACTCCACCTGAAGAATAATAAAAAAGCATTTAATAATGAATGGCCTGCAGGTGCACCAAGTAACAGTTTTCATAACAAAATAGAAAAAGAATGTTTATATTAGCCATGCGGTAACAGAAAAGATCTTGCCCGACTCTAATTCTTGCCATGCATTAGTGTGCAGAGCCACAGAATACACCCGTGTTCTAGGCACCCAACGTTACGAAGAGGTTGCTAACCTTTAAGTACTTGATGAACATCTGAAGCAAGAGAAAAGGGGGGAAAGAAGTGTCAATAGACTGTATGCATGCCACAGGCAACAATATTAGCGACTTAAGGAATTACGGAACATGACCACTGTGTTACCCTTCCTTCCCTCTTTGCCTCCCGCCCCAAATAATCGCTACAAAGGATGCATTTGCAAGGGAAGGGAAGATGCACATTAATGTCTACAACAACATGCAGAGTAAAATTGCAGCTTCTTGTTATATGATTAAAACTTTGACATGCATAAAAATTACAGTACCGACTGTATACCAAGGAAAAAACACTGCTATCAGATGTTTTCATTTGTTAACTGTGTAATATAAAATTAGTTTCTACTTCCTAAATCTGTTACTTTTGGATTTCTTCTAACTGCACTACAGCAGAAAAAATAAACCTACAGGTAGTTTTTGGAAGACAACTAAAAAAAACCTAAGGTTGCCTCTTGCAAATATCAGTTACTGATCTGCCAAAATATAATGGCTTCTCTATTTTAAGATATTAGGTTAGAACAGAGCTTTCCAAAATTGTCATCTTAGCGACACCCTTTTAAGAAATGCATTATTTCGTGACACATTAATTCAGTTTTACTAGCAAACCGGAAGTTAAACTAACCCCTTTCCAGCCCCGGGAGGAGCATGGGGAGCATTCACGCACTGCAGCTGACACACTAACGTGTTGCTACAGAGTTTGCATAGCTCTGGCTTAGAAAATCAAACATAAATCACGTTACGTACAGTCCCATTAAGGTAGAAATTATGAATATGAAGAAGCTTCGCAGTTTTATGTTTCATTCCTACCTTTGTGTATATTTTTTAAAAATCTAACCAAGGTAGGAACACAGCACATACTATTTTACTTGGGGTATTATATTTACTTTCTAAAAGGCTGGCTGTTCATGTTCAGGAATTGTTAAACTCCTATGTTTGCATGCAAATCCAAAGATTTTGTTTATGTTCCTATAATCTGTATTTTAATTCTCCTTATCTGATGTTTTGATGACTAGGAGTGGCCGAGATCACATAGCACTGGTCCTGAAGGATCTTCACTGGAAACACTGGTATGTTTCCGAGCACAATTCAAAGTGTTGGTGCTGACCTTTAAAGCCCTAAACGGCCTCGGTCCAGTATACCTGAAGGAGCGTCTCCACCTCCATCGTTCAGCCTGGACACTGAGACCCAGCTCTGAGGGCCTTCTGGTGGTTCCCTCATTGTGAGAAGCCAAGTTACAGGGAACCAGGCAGAGGGCCTTCTCGGTAGTGGCGCCCTCCCTGTGGAACACCCTCCCTTCAGATGTCAAGGAGATAAAGAATTACACAACTTTTGGAAGGCATGTGAAGGCAGCCCTGTATAGGGAAGCTTTTTAAACCCTAGACTGGTTTTCTTATTTCAAATGATCCCAATTCTGGCGGCCTCAAAAAATGGCAACAAGAAATATCTAAATTTATAAGGGAGGGCAGGAGACCCAGGATTAAACATCAAATTTTAATAGATATAAAGGATAGAGGTGGCTTCGCCCTGCCCGATTTGAAATTGTATTATGCGGCAGCCTGCCTCATGTGGATGAAGGACTGGTGCAATTTGAAAGATATGGATATGCTGAACTTGGAGGGACATAATAACCGTTGGGGTTGGCACGCTTATTTAATATATGGAAAGGCAAAAATACACAGAGATTTCTCAAATCATATCATAAGGACATCACTTCTTAAAGTTTGGGAGAAATATAAAGATCGGCTGGAGTTCAAAATCCCGTGGTGGGCCTCTCCAGTAGAGGCCACAGTGATGAAGAAAAAGAATATGTTGGAAAATTGGTCTACCTATAAAACGCTTTTGAAAGAAGAAGAGAACCAACTGAAACTTAAGAGCTTTGAGGAATTAAGAGATGTCATTACAGATTGGTTCCAATATTATCAAATATTCGAAAGATTTAAAGTAGATAAACAAAAAGGGTTTGCCAAGGAAACCTCGAGATTTGAATCTGACGTAATAAATTCAAAAAGTAAAACCCTCTCTAAAGCTTATCGCCTCCTCCTCGACTGGGAAGTTACATCAGTCATGATAAAGTGGTCTCAAGAGTTTGGGTATGTTATAACAATATCCCAATGAGAAAACCTGTGGAAGAATAGTTGGAAATTTACTACGTGATATGCCATAAAGGAAAACTTGTTTAAAATGCAACACCGGTGGTATTTAACTCAATGGAAATTAGCCAAAATATACTAAGGAGCCAAAAGTAATTGCTGGAGATGTGGAGACCAAACAGGCTCACTGTACCATATATGGTGGTAATGTAGCAAAATAAAGAAATATTGGGAGGAAATCCACTTTGAACTAGAAAAAATGTTAAGAATCTCATTTATTAGGAAACCAGAGGCATATCTGTTGGGCATTACTGATTCAGATATTCCTAAAAAAATTAAAGACCCTTTTTGTATGCAACAGTGGCAGTGAGAGTTCTTATAGCTACAAGGTGGAAGAGCGACATAATTCCTTCTAGACAAGAGTGGATACAAAAATTGATTGAATATGCTGAATTAGATAGTGTATCTGAAAAAATAAAAAATAAAGAGAATTGAATTTGTATCAAAATGGGAGGCCTTCAGAACATATCTTAAACAAAATTATACCTTGTTAAAATCTGTAGCAGCTTTTGAGTGATCCCAGCAGTTTTCATTAATTGCTTATATAAACATTTATAAATTGTGAAAATATTAATATGAAAATAGTATTTTGATATGGCATTAAATTTATGTAAAAAGAATTAAGGAATAAATGGGAGGTCGGGTATAAATGATAATGAGATTTTTATTTTTATTGTAACATGAAATTGTGTAAATTTCATTTTCTTTCCTTTTCCCTCCCCTCTTAAGTTGTACCCCTTTTCGGTATTGTCTCCCCCCCCCCCGTATGTAATAAGCATGGAAATAAGCAGGGGGGGCGGGGAAGAATTACACAACTTTTAGAAGACATGTGAAGGCAGCCCTATACAGGGAAGCTTTTTGAGGTTTAATGTTTTACTGTGTTTTTATATATGCTGGAAGCTGCCCAAAGTGGCTGAGGCAACCCAGCCAGATGGGCGAGGTACAAATAATGAATTATTATTCTTATTATTAATAAATTTGGGCTCCAGTCCATCTTCTCACGTACAAAACCTCTGGTTGCGAACAATATTCCCACAGATGTATGTACCTGGAAAACCAGCAGCTACTTTCGCAGTATTTTATTTTTCACCTGATTTTTTAAGCCATGTTTTCCCCCCTTCCACGTTTCCATTCACCTTTCGTAACCCTCTTCGTTTTCTCTTAGAAAAAAAAAAGGAAGTTGAAGATTTTGAAAGGGCAGCGACCTGAGATGGGGCTCCCTATGCATGAGAAGCAGACGGCTGACATTCTTCCCACGAAGCCCAACAGGTCCTGAAGCCGCTCTCTGCACCGGCATCCAAGCGCAACTATTCTTCTTTCTCCCCCATGTAGTGCCTTTACTGAGCACAACTTCACAACTATTTGCCCTACAACATGAGGTGCCCCTTTTGGCATACAGTGGTTCCACGCAAATGACCCCCGCTTCACAGATGAGGGGCAGCAGGAGCTGAATACTGGTGACTAGGCAGAAACTGGGACTGTCAGCGGAGATTCCACAGGGGATGCTGCAAAACATCCCCTGTGATGAGGATCTGAGGGGACAGGGCAACTCCTCGGGGTCTCAAACTGCATTGGAACAGCTGGCGCTGGCACAGAGGAGACATGCATTTATCACACACGCAGCCCATCGCAAGGAAGCATCCTGCAAACAACAATTTGCCCTAAAGTCAGACAACCGGATGGCCTACAGCAGACATGTCCAACCTGTCAATCACTATCAACCGGTCGATCGCAGGATGGATTTTGGTTGATTGCACAACCATGCCTCGTCGCCTCCGCCCTCGCTCATGGCTGCCGGGCGCTCTCAGTGCGCACTCGGCCACGGCCAGAGCGACTCCACAGGCGGCATGGCGGTCAAGGCTCCACTTAGCCAGGCTTGCTCTGGCAGGTGCTGGGGCCACCTCCTCAAGCACTCCTCTCCAACCGCTGGCTCTGCCCAATGCCCAGCCAGCTGGCCAGTCCCGGAAAGGCGTGAGGCGTCTACCTCCGCCCCATGCAAGCCACAAGCAGAGAGGCGGGGGGGGCACATGGGCTGCAGCACTGCGGAGGGAGCCGCAGGAAGGGCGGTGCGCAGAGAGACGATGATGCCCCTCCCCCCTCTCCCGGTGGTTCCCATGGAAAGAAAACACCAGGTCCCCCGCCCCTCCGCTCTCCCTCCTAGTTCTGCATGGACCTTTCCAGCTCCAGCCTAGCAGCATTTACTTGAAAGTAAGCCCCCCGCCCCACAGAGCTTGCTGTCCGGTAAAGAAGGAACCGGACATTTTGGGGCATGTAGGCCTCCCATGTGCGCCAAGGACCCTGGGGGGAGGCTGGTGGGGGGGTAATAATGTTACTATTTTTAGCATCATAATAGTAATTTATTATTTATACCCCGCCCATCTGGCTGGGTTTCAGCAGCCAAATATAATACAGGATGAGTCCTTTAAAAGAGGCCCCGTGGATACAGAGTACACATGTTCCACGGGGCCTCTTTTAAAAGACGCACCTTGTATGTTTAAGTTGAAGAATGACAATGGGAGAGCGTGGTAGATCACGGCCAGTTTTTGATACTGGATAGTAGATCACAGCCTACTTGAAGTTGGAGGTGCCTGACCTAAAGCATCCAGGAGATAATCTCTAGGGCTGTTTTTCCCCAACTTAAACTCTTGCACTTGAAACAAGCAAATGTGTTTGCCAGTTCAGTTGTAGTCAGGAGTACAAACTTGAATAAAATACTGGAGGGCCCAGGTAAGACCCACCCTGCACAATGACGCGGCCACACACCCCATTTGAATGGCAATGCCAATCTACTTTGAAGTGACCCAGCCTCGTCAAATATTTTATCGGGGGGGGGGGGGAGCCCCCTTAGACCCTAGGAGTTGGCTCCTATGGTTGTACTCACTTTTAAAAGGACAAACACCCGTTTTCCTTCCCCTTGAGGGGCAGCATTTAAGTTGCCCAGCAGTTCTATTTCATTCTCTATTTATTTCTACTTTTTAAAAATGGATTTGGACTGAACACAATAATGAGAGTTAGTGAAGAGCATATTCTGTCTTGAAACAAGGGCGGCCAACTTGTAGCTCATCTTTGGTAGTTAAGAGTACAACAACATCTGACGGGGCACATACAAAGTGCCCTAGCAGTATTCCTTGCTTGTTTTCACCTGCAGTTGAAGCTGCAAATGCGAAAGTGTAGAGAACAGGCAGCAGCAGGGAGCATTCTCTCTTTGCCAACAGCACCGGCCAAGAGAGCACTTAAAGGAGGTCCTCCAGCTGTAGGTATCTGTCATGACTGTCCAAACTTGCAGTTGTCTAAGATTAGGTACTGAGAAGTATTCACATACACTTGTGATTCATACAGACTTGGTTGGATCCTCCTATGGCACTGCTGGCATGGAATCACAGAACTGTAGGGTTGGACTGGACAACAAAGGCCAGGCACTTTGAGGGGTCTTTGCAATCAAGCAGTGTATACATTGCCATACACTCTGGTAGGTATGTGAAGTGGCATGACAACAATCAACAGAACAAGTGAGAAACTTGTAGTAACTGCAGAAACTTACCTTTACATATTTGGCATACATCTGTTCATCCAAAGGGAAGCTCTGGACATTTCTCTCATCTCTGGCATGGAAAGTGCCTAGCTTGACCCACTTATTTGTTGGATACCTAGAACACAACACCCACCAGAAAGATGTTACACACACAGTAACCTCTCAGAAACCAACGAATTCAGAACCTCCCTTATAATACACAAAAATCACTGTTACTGCAATGGGCATCACAAATACTCTATTGCAGGTACAAGGTTACGATGGACAACGCTTAAGCCACCTAGTGCAGATGATGAGTAAAGGATTTCAGTGGTAACCTCAGTACATTTTGGCTTTAAATGCTGGCCATTTTAAAGCTGTGGACTACCAAGACCATATTCTGCTTACCAATTTGCCCACCTGCCCACCCCCCGGCTGGCATGACAGACTGACAAATCAAATAGGTGTCCCAACGACTGGTAATGATGTGCCCATCCCAAATCATGAAACTTAAGCAGCTGTTGCAGTGAAAGAAAGAAACCTTACATTCACCTTCATATCCCGAGACATACCTGTCGCTGATAGACACCAGAAAATCCTTGGGAGTAGATGAGAATAACTCATGGTTGGCAATGTCCAGCTGCTTCACTTGAATTGGTTCACACAGCTCAACGACAAACCTGGCAGGTGGGGAGAAAGTCCAGCTGAACTGAGTAGGTAGAATTCACCACGGAAACCTGCTTCAAAGGGCCCTTCATGTGCATTTCACATATAGATAGCACCAGCAATCCGTAAAAGTCCCTTCCTGCTCAGGCAAGTGCTGAGTGAGGCACAGACTTTATGCAGAGCAGGGCTGCAGATTTCCTTCCATTTCTTTGATGAATTCCTAGCACAGGTTATTAGAAGTTTACATTTGAAAACCAAGTTGGAAATGGTTAATAATTCTGTGTAAGAATTTAGTTGATCTTTAGAAAACCAAAGGTGCATTACAGAGGGCAGACTAGCCTTCCTTAAGCCAATGCTCAATGTGCTTCACAGCCCAAGCCTAGCGAGGGGTCAATTTCCAGTCAGAGGCAGTTGGAAGTTAGTCAAATTAAAACCTTTTGAACCATTCTGAAGATAGGATTTTACATGCAGAAAATCAGGTTTTATTACAGGACTGCTTCTTAAAAGTTCTTGAAAAACTTTTGCAAGAAACATTCTTAGGAATAAAAATAGGTACTTCACTGGCCAAACTCCATGTTTTCCCTACATTTTGGATTTTGTTATGATTTTGTTTGATATGAAAATATTTGGACCTTAACAAAATTATTTACTTGCATATGGAAAAAAACTAGAAAGAAAAACCATGATGCTGTGCAATTAATATATTTAAAAGTCAAAGCCATTTTATATCTTTAATAATTATTTCTTATGTATAACTTCCCTCTGATGAAACCAGTATCTTCTTTGAAAATGCTTTACAAATTGTTGAAATAACTTGATGCAATCACATTTCACACGAGGCTAGTAGCATACAATGCTTGGCTACCAAGGCCTGCCAGAAACTGTAGACAATTCAGTGGCATAACAGATATTTATTTCACTTAGCTGTATAACTACTTACCAGATTTTAGTACTGCATGGATTCAGCATGTAGAGATCCATATTCTCCATTAGTATTGCTGATGTACTCTATAAAGAAGGAAAATAACACTTCATTAAGTGTTAATAACACTTAAAAGAATCCTGGCCTCTTTTTTACTGCTGGTACTTTTAGAAATCTCAACATGCCTTTGGTTTAATTTACAGTATTATTTGTGTGTCCCTTTTCAGTTAAAACACGGACAACAACCCTGAAGACAGGTCATGTTGTCTGAAAGTATTTAACTGCAACACAGCAATTTGGAAGGGACATAGCTCAACGGCAGGAGACCACCTTTTGTGTGCAGAAGGTCCCAGATTTGAAATACAGTATCTCCAGGTAAGGCCTGGAAAGACTTGTCTGAAACCCTAGAGAGCCACAGCCAGCAAGACAGATGGGACCAAGGCCTGATTCAACAAAGAAGGCATCTTCTTATGTTTGTAACACCGTGTTACTCTGCTAATCCTGGAGAAACAAGTGTTGGCTTTCTAAAGAAGTGTTAACAGAAATACTCAGGCACATTTTGAACAAGACAATTTATGCTCCAATATGAAGACCAAGATGATCAATAAACAGTGCAGGCATTAATTTGTGGAGAGCTAAGTTTAAGAAACATCTCATCCACAGATTCACAGCTAGATCTCTAAGGCTGGGTTAAATGACATCCCATGCCCTTTTAAAATGTGTTTGGGGGTACTGGGTCGTTTTTGTTTTGATTATGTTTTTTGTGGTTTTATATTGTGATTTTGTCTTGTGAACCGCCCTGAGACCTGTGGGTATAGGGTGGTATACATTAATAATAATAATAATAATAATAATAATACGTTACCTAGCCTGACAAGATTCTAGAGCGCTTAAGGAGTGCTGCTTAAGTTATGTAAAAATTAGAGCTGAAACTTCAGTTCATCAATGCTATCATAAGAACCTTAGTCTCCCACTGAACTTTACTTCCCCAATACTAATTCATTGGTGGGGCCATTTGGAGTGGGACTTTTGAAGAGCCCCTTGCCATCTAGGCTGCCATAAAATGCTGGCGTCTTTTCTTTCTTTCTTGAGATGAAGTGCTATGGTACCTTAAAGATAAACAAGTTTATTCTAGCATAAATTTATGGAATAGAGTTGTTCTAGCTCATCCTTCTCCAACCTGTAGCCCTCCAGATGTTCTGGACTACAACTCCCAGCCCCCCTAAACCTTGGCCATACTGTCTGCAGCTGGCGGGAATTGTAGTCCAAAACGTCTGGAACTTCACCTTCATGGGCTGGCATGGCCACTTCTCGTTGGTGCCAACACTGCCAGTTGTCTCTTCAGCTCTTTCCCTCTCAAGGGGCCAGCTGACTGGCAGAAAGAGTTTTCCACCCAAGCCAGCAGCAGTGGGAATCCTCTCAGTGTATTCTCTGGGGAGAACTGAACCAAGAAGGCTCCAGCTTTGAAACAGTGTCACAAGAAACCAATTTATTTGTTATATTTAACTGACAAAGTCATCAATAGTATTGCCATGTCCACCAACATGGCCTTTGAGGTGGTATACTTACCTTTGCTTCTGGGTTAGCTGCCAGTATTTTGGCACCACACTCAACTGAAGCATAATTATTCCTATTTTTCTGGACCTTTTTTGTGAGATGCTGCCCTCCATTGGAGGATGGGTGCATTGACTGACCTGCATACGAAAGGAAGCATACCAACGAATTAGAAAGATCACTATGCCGTTACTTCCAAGCTTCTAAGCTAAAGTGATTTATATACAAGGCAGCATATATATACATCACAATGGGGAAATGGATTGGGAGGAGTAACCAACAGATTAATTTAATAATCTGCTGAGCTAGAAAGGTTTAAGGATGAGGAGTCCAAAGCTACTGGTCTCTTGGCTGATAAGCGCAGCCGTGCATCCCTTCTCTCCCCAAATGTAAAAGTAATCATTTTTCTTACACAAGTGGAGATGCAGAAAAAAAAATCATTAAGATGTGGTAGCCCAATGCAAAAATCCTGAGAATCCATGTGGATCTGTGCTTTGTAACCACATTTTTGAGCCATTGTGGCCCCAGGCAACAGTGGGTGCGTGATTTTTTTGGTGCAGGCTGTAGCCATGGACATGCTATGTGATCTGATGGTTAATTTGGGGTGACCCAATGCAAAAATCCTGAGGATCCATGTGGATCTGTGCTTTGTAACCACGTTTTAAGTGGGGAGGGAATGAAAATCACTGAAGGGACAAGGAGCACACATGGGGGGTGTGGAGAAGGAGGCTGCTAAGAATGCAGGAGAGGGGTTTAAGGGGAGGGAAGGAAAAACACTGAAGGAACAGAGTTCCCCCTCTTCATGCTGTTGAAAAGCCAGTGAGCAGGCAGACACGCTGCGCAGCTCTTGCTTTAAAGAGAGTTGAGGAGAGTGTCAGCAGCTGTTGCCAGCTTTCCAGGGAGCCGGAAGAAGAGAGGTTCCTTTCCTTCTCCCACCTCGCTGAAAAGCCAGCAAGAGCGGCTTCTCCCGCCTGCATTCGCTCCATAAGACGCACACACAGTTCCCTTTTAGGAGGAAAAAAGTGCGGTAAGTATTAGAAATCTCTTGGGACGCCAAAAATATTTTAATCACTCAAAATGTCTAGTAAGAAGGAAGAAGGAAAGAAGGAAAAGTAATTCCTGTCTATTCCACAGATTAAGGCATTTTAATCCTATACAGTTACCAGGAAGCAAGCTCCCATTAAACAGAGTGGTTCTTACTTCTGACTAAACAAAGAAGTACTCTGTAAATTTCATAAATATGGCAAATAGTATGCCTTAAGTGACTCCTTTTATATTGTTGAAGCAGTAAATAAGTTTAGGTTTGATGTGTACTCCATATATTTTTAACCCCCCCCCAAAAAACAGGCAAAATTCTATGTTATACTTTCTCTTATAAATTTGACTAAAAAAACCAAATGCATTAACACGGGAAGCAGAATCCCTCTAAATCAAGACAGATAGGCTCACACAAATAATAAACCTACTGCCTTAGTTAAAGAACATAAATTCCTGGTCTATATATGAATCAGGACGTGACAGAATGGATAGTACAACTTCAGACAATATATGGATAAACATTTTCATTGCTTCCCTAGGTAAAAATGCTCCCACCAAGTTGGTGCTAGAAACTCAAACAGTGCTTTTTTTCTAAAAAAAAAGTTTAGGGGTACAGTCATAACTTGGGCTGAAGTAGCTTCGGCTTGAGCGTTTTCGGGTTGCGCTCCGCGGCGACCCGGAAGTAACGGATCGCGTTACTTCCGGCTTTTGCCGCTCACGCATATGCTCAAAATGACGTCACGCGCATGCACAGAAGTGGCGAATCACAACCTGTGCACGCAGAGACATGGGTTGCGTTCACTTCAGGATGCGAACAGGGCTCTGGAATGGATGCCGTTTGCATCCAGAGGTACCACTGTACTCTCATTTTGACTCAAGAAAATCACCATTTTATAGTTCAAATCGGGGGGGAATAAATACAGTAAATTAACAAAAGTACAAACGTTTACAAAATGTTCAGGGGTATCTGTACCCCTGCATCCCCCAGGAAAAAAGCACTGAACTCAGGTATGTAAGCTAGGTGCCAAACAACACACTGAAATCTAGGTTGTGGTCGCCACAACAGAATGTCTGTTCACCAGTGGGTTGGACTAAATGACCCTTGGGGTCCCTTCCAATGCTACAATTCTATGGTTTCAGCTACACTGCTTGACTGTGGCTTGCTCTTACAGCAATTCACTTGTCCCAGTAGGCTAGGAAAAACACACACAGTTGAAACTGAAATGGTTACAGTGGTACCTCGGGTTACATACGCTTCAGGTTACAGACTCCGCTAACCCAGAAATATTGCTTCAGGTTAAGAACTTTGCTTCAGGTTGAGAACAGAAATTGTGCTCTGGCGGCGCAGCAGCAGCAGGAGGCCCCATTAGCTAAAGTGGTGCTTCAGGTTAAGAACAGTTTCAGGTTAAGTACGGACCTCCAGAATGAATTACGTACTTAACCCGAGGTACCACTGTATTAACTATGGACTAAGACAGAGGTTTGCCAACTGTGATCGCCAACCTAGCGCCCAGAAATCTCCACATGGTCGCAGTTGGAGCCCTGCCAGTAGCAAAATGTGCATGGTTAATTTCGAACACTGCACCAAGTAGAAACTAGAAGATTAGGGAGATGAGTCAAGTGGGGTTTTAATCTCAAGCAGGTGTGCATATGAGAAAATTCACAGCAAAGTACAAAAGAGAACTAAGAATACGTGATTCGATTACATGCACTAATGCTGGAATAGGGGATTGTGTCGAAGGCAGCACGGAGAAGGTGGGCTTGGGTCAGTGATTTGGAGAGGAAGAGAGGCAGCATCCCATGAACCAAGGTGGCCGAGACGCAGCACGGGAGCATGGCTTGCACCTGGCCTGCACACCCCACCCAGTTCAGCCTGTCCCATTAGACAGCCACAGGCTGGCTCTGCAGCCCTTCCACATGGAAAGCCCCATTTTTGTAGGCCAGAATGTCCTAGTTTTATTCAACAAAGTAAATAACTAAAGGGGGTGCCCAAATTCTTATTTCTGATATCGCAATGCGGGAAAATGAAACAAGGGTCCTTAAAAAACAAATTAGGGAACACCTCTGTCATATCAAAAATAAAAACTGGGCACCCTTTGGTTTGTTCTTTTACGGTACAAAATACTTAATCAGTTGCATTTAGACAATCATTTCAGCCCTTGCTTAATGGGAGATCTATCTAACAGAAACTGCTATGACTAAAGGCTGTGTTGTAAAAACAGAGCACCCCTTACATCTCCCTTCTGTAGGGCTGGGATACTTATGATGTCTTAGTGAGCTGGTTATTATGCCAGCAGACCAAGGACACGGAAGGCAAGACCACAGTTCCAGGGGGGAACTGATCTCTGCACAGCTGATTACACTACAGCCGTATGTTTATCTAGATCAGGGGTTCTCTATCTTTCTTCCCATGGACTGAAAATTACTGGCCACCCCTCACCCCAGTCACAAAACGGTGGTGAAAAAGTTCCTTAGCTCAGTGTTCCTCAAGCTAAGTACAGGACCTGGCTCAGGAAACACTGTGGCTCAGCCTCTCCATTGGAGGAAGAATTTCCTGATCCAGAGTCTCTACGTGGAAAAGACTTTTTATAAATATATTTCCCCTCGCCATGCCTCTCAAAGTATTTTACCCACCTCCTGGCATTTCTTCTCCCATTCTCCTTTCACTTGCACCTTAATCCTCCACCCACCCACAACATGCCAGTTTCCTTCCTCCCTGGTCCTTTAACATTCACTTTTTCCTCCTCTCTTCCCAGCTTCACAATCTGATTTCCTTCCTCTCAAAGCAGAGAGGCTTTCCTTTTCCTGCTGCTTCCCAGCCACCTTCACTCCGCACACAAGGAGTGGATGGAGCTGGCACTGGTCCAGCCCAAAGGCTACAGCTGGGCTAGCAGGAAGAGGAGGCAGGGGAAGAGGCCCTGCAGCTCAGGCTGGGACACTGCAGCCCCTGGCCCCCAAGTGGTCTTGGCCCCCTGGTTAGAGAAAGACAAGCGCTGCATCGCAAAAGGACATTTGTTAACAAAACTCGTGAACAAAACAAAAAATACAGTTATACATAAAACCAGAGTCTCTCCCCCTTTAGGAAGGGTTTTGAAAGTTTCTTTTTAAATAAAAAAAGGGTCAGTACTAAATACTTGATTTTTAAGGGATAAGTCTGTTCAAAGTTTTCAAGAACAACCCAACAACCCCCCCCCCCAAAAAAACCCCTGAACTCACTCTTTTCTTTTTCCACTTCCATAACCTGCTTTTTCCATTCATCAAAAGTGGGAATATCTCCTGGATCCTTTGGGCTTATTACAGAAGTTGGGTCAATTTCTCCTACTTTTCTCTGCAAGGTTTTCAGATATTAACAAAAAACAACAAGACAGGCAATAAGGCAAGCAATCAAAACAGTGTAAGGCTTCAAGAACCAAACATTAAAAGGCAAGTTATGCCCAGCAGGCTGCATGGTAAGCTGACCATTCTATTGCATAGCAGTGCTTTTACAATTTTTCTTATTGTTATTTTGCAAAACATAGTGTCAGGGAACTGACATCGGAGCTAGAGGCGGAGGGAAGGCTCTCAAATGATGCTGGAGAAGGGCCCAGCAGGGAGAGAGGCAGCTCCGCAGATGGGGAAGCATATCAGCGCAACACCAGGGATAAAGGGGGGCTGATGGGGGAATCGGCGAGAGGGCTCCAGGACTCCAGGACTCTTCACCGGACACCAGCGGGGAGAGCACTGGTCCCCCGCTACCCACGCCCACCCTGCGCAGAAGACTTCCGCACAGAGAGAGTAGGAGGAGACTAGGTGTCAAACAACTTTTATGTTGGAAAAGATTTAAGAAACGCCCACTGACGGATTCTGCTAGCGACTGAGGCAGCCACGAAGTGAAGGGCTGCTCAGACTGAAAGGTTTAGCAAGGCAACAAAGCCTGGAGAGGCGGCAACTTACGCACGAGCAACCCATACACATTACACACAGCTTGCATTTGGGGGGAATGTGATGTGGAAAATGTGCTGGTTAGAGAAAGGAATGAAATGTGTGTCCTACTATACTTACTATACCTTAAGGTACTCAGTAGTACTCAGACTATCATGAAGGCAATAACCCAATCACTTACAAGGTTGTAGATACCAAAACAGAGAATCTAGTATAGCCTTCCCCAGCCCGTTGCCTTCTAGATGTTCTGGATTGCAAATCCTATCAGAACCAGCTGAGATGGTCAGAGCTTATGGGAGCTGTAATCTAAAACATTTAGAAAGCACCAGTTTGCTGAAAGCTACTACATATTTACAGTAAGAAAGGAGTGGAGTTTTATTCTTTTCGCAATGCCATTGACTTTTCTGCTTTTTCTGTTTTTCCTTTAAAATCATAAAAAGGATAAGCCATGAACTCTCAATGTTTCAGAGTGAATTTCTGTAATGCCTGCATTGTTCATCTTCAACTGAGAAGAAATATGTTGATTTGACAATGGTTGCCTATGTTCACTCAAGTTCCAAAATGCTGGGAAACTACAGTTGTTAAGGACCAACCTTTTACAAACGTTTTATTTAGGTCGTTTTTTAAAAAATGGTATGGTATCCTATCTTGTGGTTAGTTTCAGTTTTGCCACCACTTTGCAGCTAGATGACTGTCCAAGGCAGAGCAGCAGAGCCAAGTTCCAGATGGGTCTGCTGACCGGAACAGTCACACAAGAACCTGTCCATGCAACTGTGGCTCTTCCTGTAAACAACCAAATCTGGAAGGAGTCTGCCCTCCAGTTCCAAGGTAGGGATGAAGATGGAACGAACCAGCTGATTCCAACAAGCATTTCAAGTTTAGTGTCTGGGGTGGCGCATTTTATCTGCTGGTCTCCGCACTGTTTTTGCTGTAGTTACTGTATTTTGAATGTGCTTTCACATGAAAGCAGGAGAGTAATGTTAAAATAAAATCAACAGTAAGGTAAAGGGACCCCTGACCATTAGGTCCAGTCGTGACCGACTCTGGGGTTGCAGTGCTCACTTCGCTTTATTGGCCAAGGGAGCCGGCGTACAGCTTCCGGGTCATGTGGCCAGCATGACTAAGCCGCTTCTGGCGAACCAGAGCAGCGCACGGAAACGCCGTTTACCTTCCCGCCGAAGCGCTGCCTATTTATCTACTTGCACTTTGACGTGCTTTCAAACTGCTATGTTGGCAGGAGCAGGGACTGAGCAACAGGAGCTCACCCCGTCGAAGGGATTCGAACCGCTGACCTTCTGATCGGCAAGTCCTAGGCTCTGTGGTTTAACCCACAGCGCCACCTGTGTCCCATAAAATCAATAGTAGTGCTTGGCATTTTCCACATTTGAAATATGAGCATCATATGCTAGTAGTCGAAAGTAAGCTGTAACAGAAGCAGCACGTTAAGTACCTGCCCATTTAAAGTAAGCACTGAGAACCAATACTGTAGAAAGTATAAAGCTGAGAAATGTCAAACCACAAAGGGAGCAAAATGTTCTTTGATATTTAGTGTGAGAGATAAACGTTTACTTGAACCATTTGTATCCCTACAGGGTGTTTGGGGTTATTATCACCTACCTCCCCTCTTATGTTACCCGAAGCATTCAGTGCAGATTTTGGAGTGGTCTTTTGCTCAGTTGCAGGAACTTTGGGTTCGAATTCTGATTTAGTTATCTTTCCCTTTCCATGTGAAGATATATTTTCTATATGTTGACCTACAAGGCTGAAAATACAGCAACATCAGAAACACCTAACTCAAAATATTTTTACATACCAATACATAGAATATAGACAGCACAGAATTCTCACAGAGAACCAGTCAGTTGCTATTGAACTTGATAAAATAAGTGTTTTAGTGAAGAGCAGCAATATTCCAAGTATGGTCTCAACTGTGAAAAAGTCTGTCCTGCAACACGGACAGGCAATGCAAGCCAGAGGAAACCTGCTTAGCCAAGGATGCTGGTAAAAACTTTTGCTTCTTTTTCAGCTTCTTCTGTAAAGTGACATGTGGTCAGAAGTATTTCAAGTACAGTAATACTGCCCCTCATTAACCTTATTGAAGGGGCAGAAAAAGAAAATCAAAACTGCAAGGTCAGGCAATAAAAAGCTGTTCTGAGTTACTGACTTTGATTATCTAGAAATACATTGTTAGTCAAGGATAGTGTTAGATTATTTACTTGAGCATATACGGGGGGGGGGGGGTTGGTCTTTAAGGACTAGGTTTGTTTTTATTTTTTATCTATTACTATCTGTTAGTCACAGGGCTGGGTTTATGTTTGATGAGGCCCTAAGCTACTGAAGGGCCCTTTATATGTCCAGCTGTCCTTTGTCAACAACAAATGGTTGCTGTTTTTTTGTGTTGAATATATGCTATATGGTAATTTACGGCCCTAATAGGTATCTACAGCCATTTGCACATAACAAAATATGTATTTTATCAAAGTAATTATTGAACTGAAATACAATTAAGTAGTATATAAATAGTGAGATAATTACTATTACATCCAGGGGTTTTTTCCCCTTTAAATTTTTTGGGGGCCCCCAAGAGAGTGGGGCCCTAAGCTAGAGCTTGCTTAGCTTACACGTAAATCCGCCACTGGTTGGTCACCTTGCATCTCTTTGAATAGACATGAAAATTAAAAGAAGAAGAAGAAGAAGAAGAAGAAGAAGAAGAAGAAGAATGAAAATCAATGGAACAGCCTATGGCAGCAGTTATTTTAATACTCACCCCTCTGGAGAAGTATCAAGAGACGAAGAGTCACCCTGAGGCTGGCCCTCAAGTGCCCCCCCCAGGTCACAGTCAGGCTCTGACTGCTCTGCTTCAGCAGAGCTAGCTACAGGGATATCAGCACTGGAGTTTTCTATTGCACTGAAGGAAAAGAAAACAAACATGCTTTTTACTTCTATGAAATAACTAATATTTTTGCTGGAATTTCTAATACCATGACACATCAAAGCACCCTTGTATTAAAGCAGTTGCCTGGTAACCACAGAAGACAAAGAACTGCATATAGCCCAATATATGAAACGAGGCAGTGAGGGAACATCTTTTATACGTTTTTACATTTTTGCATATATTTGTATATACTGCCTTGAGTCCCAGTCTGCGAGAAAGGAGGGATAATAATATTAATAAATAATGCATCCAACCCTCAATTAGTCTGTTGAGAGGGAGAGTACTCTTCTACTCAAATGACTTATTCTATTATTTCTTGCAGAAAGTGTGCAATTGTAGGGAATTTGTTTAGGGAAGCTTTTAATGTTTAATAGGTTATTGTATTTTAGTGTTCTGTTGGAAACCGCCCAGAGTGGGTGGGGCATAAATAAATTATTATTATTATTATTATTATTATTATTATTATTATTATTTCACTGGCATTATTAGAAATGTCAATAGTGAATCTTTAGCTATGGAGCAATACTACCCCTGTCAATATAATTCAACTTAAAACAAATGCAGTTTCCTAACTCTAATGTGGTATCAGTTGCTGCCATGAATGAATCAAGTCAGAGAGTCAACAGTTGATAACCTCGTGTAGTTTTCTTAAAGTGCATATATATAATACATAATGCAGTGTGTTGGCTACCTATGTCAGGCTTCGAGGAATAGGATCCCTCCCCTGGTGGCAGTAAATAAGCAGATCAAATGAAAGGAGCATTCTTACCATTTGTTTCTTTAATAATCACAGCGAGAGACAAAGGAATGCATATCTCTCTAGGAATGGCATTGCTCCCAGTAAAGGTTCACCCCCTCCGTACCCATTAATCTACATCACTCCTACGTCGGGTAATCTGAGCTTGTTGCCACTGTGCTTTCTGTTCTATCACTCTCAAAGCCCGTCTAGTCTTAGGCAAAGGGGGGTCAGGAATGCTTTCTAATGACAGTGACTCTGCCAGCTGTCTCTCTCCTGGTATTTCCTCTTCCTCCTCACCCAGTATTTCCCAGCTTTCCCCCTCAGCACTATGCCCCTCTGCAAACCACTGTTCTAAATCAATGGGAAGGTTCGGGGGGGGGGGGGGGCTGCCACCATTTCTCAATCCAGTCCCTGACAATATCTTACAGGTTCACACTTCTTTCAGTTTCTGTTTAGAACAGATGAAAGGTTAATTTTTTTAATAGAAAAATTATAAACTGCTTGATCAGAAAGTATCTCCAGCAGGCGAAATGCCTCTTGATGTAATACTATGCAGAAATGGCCAAAAAAATGGAATAGCTTACTTGGGCTGAGAGACTGGTGAGATCTCCGAGGTAGATATGCTGAAAGTACTATCAGGGATATCAGCTACACTAAAAGAACCTTCATTGGAATCCACTGAAGACTGTGCCTCAACTTCAGGTGTCCTCAGTTCCTCCATCTCCATGTTCTGTTCAAAAATGTCAATATACACTTTAGAATCAGTTCCAACATCTGCCCAATTTGCAGAATTTATTTTAACTACTCAAAGCACAAAAAAGAATAGTGAAGCCTACAAGGCTGCTATTTCACAGGGTAAGCCAACCACAAGCAAGCTGGGACAAGTAAAAACTAACCTTTGAGCCTTAATACAATTCACCATGATAGTCAAGTGGTTCATCTTACTCAAACTACATATGAAATGCTGCTATCAGGATCTATTTGTTGGGACGGGGGCAGCACTCAACTGCATTAGCCTAGCAAATACTTAAGGTTCCTTGTGGAAAATTCAAGTGCTTCTTATTCTCATAGTGCCAGTAGACTTGGCAGCGCAGTCCACAAGGAAACTATTGTGCAAAGGAAGTGAGCATTCATAAAATCTTTACATCCCATCTAGAAATCTGCATTTTCCCTAACTACTTTTACACTTGGACTGCAAGCAGATTAAAGACATTTGAAGCCATCAATTTACATGCGACAGAAAAGCGACTTCTTCATATTGCCAGTAAGGGTTGGTTTTTTAATAGCATCAGTATCGCTTGCCTGTGACCATAGGTCTTTCAACTGTCATTGCTCACAGGTTCTGAAACCTGCATAGAGCAATGTTCAGAATCTTCTAGAGGTGGGTGAGAAAATGCTTTTTGGCAAGAGGATTACCCCCAGTCTTCCAGGAGGGGTGTGGCCCCTGCCTATTCACTCGGTTGCTAATAAGACTGCTGCAGCACGTAAGAAGAAAGCTAGAGAAAGAGAAAAGCAGCTCAGAGGATACAAGGACTGTGGGGAAGGAGGACCACTTAAGCTACAGGAGAGCAACCTACCTTTCTTCTCCAAGGTCCCTGTGCAGGAACACGTAAGGGAGAAGAGCAAGTTCTCCTACTGAGAGCCAGGGCAAGTGGCTTAGGGAACCAGAGAGCTCAGGCAGTCCAAAGGAGGCACCTGTTCACACCCAAACATCCTGTGCCGGGTGCTAAACAAAGGCAGCCCTGCAGCTCAGCAACCGTACTGCACTTAGTACTCTCAACAAGAATAAAAATCATGTTATAATTTATACCCCACCCATCTGGCTGGGTTCCCCAGTCACTCCTTGAGAAAAGCCTCTATACAACGACTGCCCTAAACAGGATTAGCAGCCAAACCAGCTCTACCTAGTTCAATGGTGGAAAAGACCCACTGCACAAATGTTGCTGATGCTGACTTTCCTTTGAGGGCTCTCACAGCAGAGAGATGCCAGGGTTGGAGCTGAGCAGCCAGAGACCACAATGGCCAGTTGGTCAAAGGGCTTTGCTGGTATTTATTGTTTAATTCCTTTTTAAACCTCTGTGAGGGCACTCATTTGATATACCCATTTTATGAAGTAAATAACGGGGTGAAAACAGTATACAGTGGTACCTCAGGTTAAATACTTAATTCATTCCGGAGGTCCGTACTTAACCTGAAACACCAGTTTAGCTAATGGGGGCCTCCTGCTGCTGCCACACCGCCGGAGCCCGATTTCTGTTCTTATCCTGAAGCAAAGTTCTTAACCTGAAGCACTATTTCTGGGTTAGCGGAGTCTGTAACCTGAAGCGTATGTAACCTGAAGCGTATGTAACCTGTATGTAACCACTGTAGCTTCCACAGAGGTGCTGCCCGAAAGGAAGATAAAAGGCTAAATAAATCCTTCAAACCCTTCAACCAATAGGAGCAAAACAACACAACCTTTAAACTGTATGATGATATCAGCCTCCTTCCCTCCTCCCACAGTGGCAGCTCCTTCACACCCGATACTCAGACAGGCTCTCTGAGGTGCAGATTTACTCCAGAATAAAAACCTTTCACACACACCCCATGGCTCCCTCTCTCCTTTGCTCTTTCTCAGTCTCCTCCCTCTTGTAGAGAAGCACAAACACAGCTGAGCCACAGAGACACACCCCAGTCTCTTCAGCACCCCAACCCCACAACATTCCCTCCAGCCTCTCTCCCCTCATCCCTGGTGGTGGAAAGGACCCTCTGTGTTGATCTTCCCCTCCCCCCATGCAATGGGGGGAGGGAAGGGGAGAGGGGAGAGAGAGTGGGAGGGAGGGAGAAGTCAAAAAATGTAAAGGACCCCTGGACGGTTAAGTCCAGTCAAAGGTGACTATGGAGCTGAGGTGCTCATCTCACTTTTTAGGCCAAAGGAGTCGGCATTTGACCACAGACAGCTTTTCCAGGTCATGTGGCCAGCATTACTAAACAGCTTCTGCCACAACTGAACACTGTGACGAGTGCCAGAGTGCACGAAAACGCCGTTTACCTTCCTGCCACAGCGGGACTTATTTATCTACTTGCACTGGTATGCTTCCAAATTGCTAGGTTGGCAGGAGCTGGGACAGAGCAACAGGAGCTCACCCCATCATGTGGATTCAAGTCACTGACCTTCCGATCAGCAAGCCCAAGGGGCTCAGTGGTTTAGACCACACATGAGGCACTTTTCCAATAGCTACCTAGGGGAAAGTTCCCCCAAAATCCCGTCCTCCCTCGCTCTATCTCACAGCAGCAGATGAAGGAGAGACGGAAGCCCAGCTAAAGCAAACCAGGTAGGGCAGGCGCAGCCACATGGAGGAGGGGAAGCATCTAGAGTCATGCAGGGAGGCATTCAACTCCTGTGACTGCAGTGCCTACCAGCTGACCCACACAGCAGAGCAAGCAGTGGCAGATCACTCAGGCAGCAGGCAGAAAATTTTATCTCAAGTTTTATCAGACACAGCACAGCGCGACAAGACTTCTGAAACTGCTTGCCAACGGACCATTCCCTATAGCGGAACATGTCTAGCGCCAAGGGAGTTTCAAGCGCTGCTATGACCGCTCCAAAGCTCAGAGGCATGGATCATGGCTGAAAGAATAGGCATATCCCCAAAGACTTGCCTCTTTTTGCTTTGTGCAGTCAACTACACATTCTTCAGGATGGGTGTTTATACTGGAGTCAATGTGTTCCAAAGACATTGTTCCAATGGATCCATGGGTCTCCTCCTAGTGGAAAGATACAGAAATATATTTAGATAGATGCAGCTGCCAAGCTTTGCTGGGAAACTTGCTGGCTCTGAGGAGGTACTTTTAATCCTAAAAGACATTTTTTAGTCTAAACTTTCACCATTTTGCATGGACCAAAATGTGATCTAGAGAGTGTCTTCAATTGTTTAAGACCTTACAATGACTGACATTTAGCAAACACAAAGAGACCTCTGGCATCTTAAAAAACAAAAACATTATGGCCAAAGTTGATGCAGACTGATGCCATAGGCCAGGGGTCAGCAACCTTTTTCAGCAGGGGGCCGGTCCAGTGTTCCTCAGACCTTGTGGGGGGTCGGACTATATTTTGGAATAAAATATGAACGAGTTCCTATGCCCCACAAATAACCCAGAGATGCATTTTAAATAAAAACACATATTCCACTCATGTAAAAACACTAGGCAGGCCCCACAAATAACCCAGAGATGCACATTCTACTCATGTGAAAATACGCTGATTCCCGGACCATCCGCGGGCCAGATTTAGAAGGCAATTGGGCCGGATCTGTCCCCCAGGCCTTAGTTTGCCTACCCATGCAAGAGGCAGTGTTTCTCAAACTTGGGTCCCCAGCTGTTGTTGGGAGTACAACTCCCATCAGGGAATTGTAGTCCAGCAACAGCTGGAGACCCAAGTTTGAGAAACACTGTCATAGGGTGACATCTAATGGAGTTAGCTGGCCTACAGGGTCATTCCTGCTGCATGAGGAGGATGACATTGGATAGCGTACATAATATATGTAATTAAAATAATTATTCTTCAAGGGGCCACAAGGCCTGTTGCAACAAAAACAATCAAGGCCACCCTTGTGTAAATCTTTAACAATGGCTGCACTGTTTACACCGGGCTGCATCCAAAGCAGCACCTGCAGAAGAAGAATTCCCAACTACCCACTGTGGTGACATCAAATCCATTCTGAGAGATGCTCCAAAGGCCTAGCCTGGGGGATTGTCTGATTTTATCTTCTCAGATACACATGGCAAAGATCCTGCTGTCACCACCAGAAGAGGCTTTTGGGAGGGCCATTTCACAGAAGCTGCTTTGGATGTAACTCAAGAGATGGCAAAGGAACCTTAAGACACAGATAAGCTTGTTTTAGAAAATCATTAGGTTTCAATAATTTAGGTTCCATGATGTATAGAAAAAGAAAGCCATTCTGAGTTGTTGTTTCAAATTTAAACATTTCCTCTCAATTTAAAGCAGCCTTTAAATAATCCTGCAAGGACGACATTTTTCATGTCATATTCTACATGCAAGTCCCCAATAAAGCTGTTCAGTTTCTTCCAGGCAGTTACCTTTTCCTGGATGTTCTTGTCCATGTTTGCCAAGGGACAGTTCTCATTTGGTAAATGCAAAGAGCCAGAGGAAGGACTCTCTTTACAAAAGACATGCCAGCTGGGTAATCTGTTAAAAGAACAAAACCACACTTACACAGACAGATACAGTTACATCATAGCTGATGCCATGAGAGGGCGAGGCAAGGATGATGAAATATGCCCTGACCCGCAAAAAAAAAAAAAGTTACCTACTCAACTCCTGTTTTGCCCCAAAAGGGCATTGGATGCACCCTCACAAATACAGCCTGAAAAGTGAGGGGTCAGAGTATGAGTATTCCTGGAGAATGGCCTGCATGCGAGGATGAGACAAGCAAACGTTGTACTAATCTTCAAAATGGTGAAAGAGGAAGACCCAAAAAACCTAAATACTGGATAGTCTAACTCTGACATAAGGGAATAAACTAGAACATATTATAAACGAGTCAATCTGCAAATATCTTTATAATATAGTGATTTGTAGGAGTTAGCATGGATTTGTGAAGAATAAGTCCTGCCAGACTCCAAGCTTAAAGAATTGCTGCCAGAATACATGCTTAAATCAAGTTTGAAGGGACGCCGAGGGTCATCTAGTCCAACCCCCTGCAATGCAGGAATCTCAACTAAAGCATCTATGACATATGGCTACCCAACTTCTGCTTAAAAACCTCCAATGAAAGTTTTCACTTCCCAAGGGAGACTGTTCCACTGTCGAAGAAGCTCTTACTGTCAGAAAGTTCTTCCTAATATTTAGTCACAAACTCCTTTATTGTAACTTGAATCCATGGGTATTAAGTCTCACCCTCCAGGCAAAAACATTCCTCTTCAACAAGGCCCTTTTAAATGTTTGTGGGCGGAGGGGATTATTGGTTTATGGGCTTTTTGTTGTTCTTTTTATTATGTATTTTGTGTTTTTATCTTGTATTTTTATGTTGTGAACTGCCCTGAGATCCATGGATGAAGGGTGGTATACAAATGTAATTAATTAATCAGTTATTCATAAATAATGAAAGGATTAAGCCCCCAAATATCTGCTGAATAAGCTGCTTATGTGAGCAAATTATCTGGAAGCAAAGGGGGATTCAGATTGGCGCAAGTCATAATGCATCATACCAATACATACTTGTATCCAGCCTTGCCAATAAAATAAATATACACCAGCCTACAAACATACTGTTAGTGCATATGGTTGTATGTACCGTATTTTTCGCTCTATAACACGCACCAGACCACAAGACGCACCTAGTTTTTGGAGGAGGAAAACAAGAAAAAAAATATTCTGAACCTCAGAAGCCAGAACAGCAAGAGGGATCGCTGTGCAGTGAAAGCAGCAATCCCTCTTGCTGTTCTGGCTTCTGGGATAGCTGCGCAGCCTGCATTCGCTCCATAAGACGCACACACATTTCCCCTTACTTTTTAGGAGGGAAAAAGTGAGTCTTATAGAGCAAAAAATACGGTACCTAAGTGTCACAGAACAGCTTTTGTAGCATATCTGGCTTGCTACTCTCCTCCTGAAGATGGAGATCTGTGACTTCATGTTGAAGCTCCACTTATTTCCATCAGAAATTGCCAGTGTTGTGCTTTAGCTACATCTTTGCTCTGCTTTCAAAGCACTCTTACATGCCCGTGGGACAAAACACATTGATAACAAAGAATAGCACGTTATTGTTCAACTGGTTTTGTAAATTTATCAAACACAAGGCCCATTTCCCCCTCTGACTTTTCTTGTTTAGAATGGTAGTTTAACTAGTTAAAATCTATTGCAGGAATGTAGTCCCTCGACAGAAAGCACAATCCTACATGCTAGTTGTTCACTACGTTGCCAAACACAGATTAACAGCCAAAAAGGAAAAAAGCCCCCAAGATGTACCGCAGGGAAGCCTACCAGGCTGAAGAACTGGGGAGCAGAAGCTCAAGGGAGTGCAGGGGCACAACATCACTGCTCGGGAGCACCAAGAATCCCGGTCTGCCCTGGCAAATAACTGTCTGCCTGACCCACCGGGCTGAGCTCGCCACAGCCGCTCCCCCCGCCAGGAACCCGGGGCAACCGCCAGAACTCTTTCCCTGACTCCCCTCCGGCTCTCCCAGGAGCGAACCACGACGGGAGCGGAGCAGGATGAGTCCCGCCGCCTCGCTTTCCTCCCCAAGCGGAATGCCCCGCCTCCCGGGCCGCTCCAGGCTTCTCCAGCGCCTGATCTCCCCTCGCAGCCCGCGGAGGCGGCGGAGGCGAGGGGCTGCCCGGAAGCGGCCCGGGCGGGGGGCGGGATCCTGCCTCGGAGACTCACCCGGCCAGGCAGCCCAGGAGGAAGCAGGAGGAAGCCAGGAGCAGCCGCCGGCGGGGAGGCTCCTTCATGGTCTCCGCCGTCTGCCTCGTGGGGCCCGCGGGCGGCGGCGCATCCTCCCGAGGGCCGGGGCGGCGGAGAAGGGCGGGCGAGGGGTCCGGCAGCCGCGTCCGCCGCCCGCGCTGGATCCGCGACGCGCTGAGCTGGAATGTGACGCGTCACCGCGGGGGGAGGCACAGCCGCGCCTGCGCACCAGGCCGCTGCCCCTCCCTTTCGAAAGACAACGGCCCAGAGAGGCCGCCGCCAGCCAATCGACAGCGCCCTTTTCTCCAAGGCGGCCGCTGATTGGGCAGTTTTCCCTTTCCCCTCTCCGCCCGCGGACGGGCCGCGCGCTCCCCCGCCCTAAAGCCATGGCGGGGAGGGATAGGCGTCCGGCGGGAACGCCGGAGCGCTCGCGGTTCGCTCTGAAACTACCTCGGATGTTGCAGGCGGGGTGGGGATGGGGGTGTAGTAGCCAAGGCGCTGCTTTTCTTAAGAGAACTTACGCGCCGTGAGCACGAACCGACAAGAACCTTAAATCGCTTTCGTCGATCAGGCATTCGCTTCGGCAGCTTGCAGCAAAGGCCGCGCGGGGGCGGGGGCTTTTTATAGTCTTCGAGGCCCCGGCGGCAATGTGACGCAGAGCCTCAAGATCAGGTTATAGAGGCGCACTGAGCGCCCAATCTGCGGGTTCCTCTTGCACTAGGACGTGGGTGGCGCTGTGGGCTAAAGCACAGAGCCTAGGACTTGCCGATCAGAAGGACGGCCGTTCGAATCCCCGCGACAGGGTGAGCTCCCGTTGCTCGGTCCTATCTCCTGCTAACCTGGCAGTTCGAAAGCACGAAGTGCAAGTAGATAAATAGGTACCGCTCCGGCGGGAAGGTAAATGGCGTTTCTGTGCGCTGCTCTGGTTCACCAGAAGCGGCTTAGTCATGCTGGCCACATGACCCGGAAGCTCCCTCGGCCAGTAAAGCGAGATGAGCGCCACAACCCCAGAGTCGTCCGCAACTGGACCTAATGGTCAGGGGTCCCTTTGCCTTTACCTTGCACGATGCTTGGGACTGGGCTCCAGCCTTTACCTGCGGTTGTGACATTGAAAGGGCTGCCCTAGGCTGGTCCTTGGCCAGCACACCTGAGCTCACCGTGTCGGGATGATGGACAGCACTGCTCTATACCTTTTCACAGAAATGCACGCAAAGGCCATACTCACTCACTCATTCATTCATTCATTCTATTTCATAAAATCTATACACCGTTTGATTGCAAAAAAATCCACAACCCAACCACATGTAACAACCACATAATCATGAAGGAGACCCTCCATATTTTAATCATTTTAAAAATCAATTGTAACAACTTGAACTAAGGCATTTTTAGTTGCATAATCGTTTTACCATTTTTTTAAAAAGTAGGCTAAAAAGATCAACCCAATATTAAGGTGCCAAATGGACAGGCAGTCCATGTTTTTTAAAAGTAAATGTTAACATTTTAATTTTTTTTTAAAAATCATTTAAACACACTATAAGATTGCTAGATTCCTTCCTCATGGGTCCCTGTTTTCTTTTGTTTTCCACAATCTAGCTCTGTGTATGAAGAAATTCACTTCATCTCCTATCACAAATTCTCACAATGGAAATTTGCCAGTTGGCAGACTTTGGGAATTAAGCTGCATGGATCTTGAGTGTATATATATATATATATGTCTTCTCACTCAGGAAGAGAGCATTCAGTGTTGCTAACACAGTGACTGACTTCACCCCTAGAGGCGCACTCTATTGTCTCTCAAGACAGACGGGTGCCAACCAACAAGCTGAAGGGGCTCCAGCAAGAAGTTCAGTCTCTCTCCACTTCCCTCACTTAGGCCACTGCATGGCAAGACTTTGGAGCCTGCACTTTGGGCACATGGGCCTTCTCAGCTTTGAGGCAAGGGAGCTTGTTTTGTTACCTACAAGCCAGCCTGTTTTGATTCCGATTTGCTATATGAAACATTTTTATGGCCTTGGGAGAGAAATCTGGAAAGGCATCAGAAGCTATTGCAAGATGGGAGGCGGAGCAACCTAAAATCCCAAATGTCCCATAGGGCCTCCAGCTAGGAATCTCTAGTTTTGAAATCAGAGACCACTATTGCCACGCTGTCCCCAGTTACACCTGCAAAATGAAACAAACATCATGTGAGGTGCAGGTAGTGGACCTTATCCAGCAAGAACAGGAGTTACCTAAGCGTCATTCAAGACCAGTTTGCTGAGTGGGCTTCATTTGCTATCACCAAAATGACCTTTGCACGTATACTTGTGCTGCTGACGCTGCAATCTTACGTATGCTTACTAGAACGTGAACCACACTGAACTTTGGGAGAGCTTAATTATGAGTAAATATATTTAGTACAAGCCTGATTATATCTGATGCTTCTGTCTGTTGAGAAAATCGGGTTCAGTGACATCATATGGAACCTTTTTCATCAATTTGCCCACTCCCACTGCCTGTGTGTTCTGGGAGCCCTATTCCTCCCACAACCATTTTTAGGAGGCCCACTCATCACCCTCACAAGATACTTGGAAGGAAAAGCTGACACTTCTTAGCACTTTCCCGAACGGAAGTGCACACCAAGAACACTCTGTGTTCCCCTGATCTTCTCAGTGGATCTGAATGCATTGGTCAGAACCATTTCTCTTACGGGATCTCCTGTAATCTGAGGTTACTGAGGATAAGGGCTGGTTTGAATTTGATTTAACTTCCACTGAAAACATCAGCACTGACAAAAAAAAATTATTGCCAAAAGGTGCCCTGCTGGAGGGTGACAGCTTACAGGCACACAGGCCACCTGGTGACAACGATGCCAAAGTCCGTTTGCTCTAGCTAGCAGGTAAAGCTACTGAATCAGATGATGGCAGCATATTTGACCCATGACATAATACAATTGGTAGCCAACAGAGGCGTATTTCATAGGACAGAACCCTGCCCTATGTCCGGTGGTCATGCTTGACCCAGAAACGTATGCACAGGTGAAAGGACTTTTTTTCTCTGAGCATGCAATAATGCAAATGTGTCAAATTGAGTCAAAATGTCCATTTAGTACATGCACAGGGCTTAACCCCCCCCCCCAATATTTTACCCCAAAATGCCAACCACTTGAAACTTGAGTTTGCAGATGTCTGAATTTATGGCAGGAATTCCTCCTAGGGTTAGGCAGGTACTATCTGTCTTTACACCTGAGCCAAGTGAGATGAATGGGCACTATCCCTGGGTCAATAAACCTATTTACAACAAATATAAACCCCGGGACACGCGGTCTGATCCTATATTTACTTCTATCACTGCATTCCAGGGGGCTCACTCCCTAGTGTGTGTTCAGTGAGTTTCCTTATGTCCCTCAAAATCTTTTGGGGGGGGGCAATTATTATTTTAAAGTTCCACAATATTTTAGCCATTCTTAGTTAAGAAACGGGTTTCCTGGATGTGAACCTAAACCAGCCAGTAAACGTACCAACTTCTCACCGGGGCCGACCAGATGCGTCAGTGGGAACCCCTTTCTTGAGCCCGGCCCAGCCCGCTGTCCTGTGGGAGGGAGTTCCCCAGCTCCCCTGGACCAGCGCCTGCCAGGGAGAAGCCTCGCCTCTCCTTCCCGGGGTCGCCTGCGCGTCCGGATGTGCTGCTCGGCCCGGGAGGGGAGAGGAGCCTTCTTGGCGCACGAGGAAGGGAGGCAGGGAGCCATCACTGCCTCCTTCTCGGCCTCCCCCGCCAGGCACCCGGGCGTCCCTCCTACCCGCCCCGGGCGCGCGCCTGCCAGCCCGCGCTCTCGCCGGCTTGGGCTGCCAGCTGCGTTGCGCGCCGATCCGGGAGCCGCCGCCGCGGCCTGGCCGGCTAGGGCCCCGAGGGAGCGGCGGCCCGTGGGAATCCCGGGGATCCTTGGCTTGGGAAACGGAGGGATCTCCAGCCCCGCAAGTGGGTTCCAGGCAGCTGGCGGAGGGACGCTGGCACTGGATCAAGAGGCGGAAGTGAACGCAAATGGCACCATAAAGGTATTTTCATGCTGGGAGCTAAACACACACACACATGTAAGGTACCTCCTCCCCCTTTCGGTTTCCCCTGAACAACTTTCACGTGTGTGCCCAGCTTGCACAAGAGGAGGCCAGAGATTTTGGGGTGCTATATATGAAAGAACACATGGAGCCTAAATGCCAAATCCTTGGCGTGTTTGCTCCCAAGTAAAGACAACAGATTTTGTTGACTTCTGGTTACTGATGATCATGAAGGGCAGGAGGAAGGAGAAGCCAAGCAGTGTGACTGCCTAGGAGGAGCCAAGATAGTGGGCCCTGTTTCCGAAACAGTCGGATGGTGGGGTCCCCAAGTGTTGTAGCACAGCTTCTCTTGGTGGTTTCTCTCTGTGGCCATGCGAACTGACTGCTGTGCTTTTGAGCTGCAGATCTTGGCTTGATGGACTTGTTTTCTTTCTAGGTGCCAGCAGTGACCTAGAAAACCAGGGACAAGTCTGGGCATGAGTTTCATCATCCATTGATGTTGTAAGGAAGAGCCGTGAGACGGACTTGGCCGGAATCATGCTGCCTGCTCAGCTGGGACCAAACACACGGCAGCGCTGGCAGAAAGTGTTGTATAAAAGGCAGCCCTTTCCTGATAACTATGTGGACCAGAGTTTCCTAGAGAAGCTACGCAAGAACATCCATGCCCGCAAGTACCAGTACCGGGCGGTGGTGTTTGAGTCCGGAGTGGTCATACAGCAGCTGTGCAGCGTCTGCGTCTTTGTCGTCATCTGGCGGTACATGGATGTGGGGCTGCTGGCTCCCCAGTGGTTATTTGGCGCTGGCTTGGTGACTTCCTTGATAGGTTACGTCCTTTTTGACGTATTGGACTCGGGAATGGGGAGAAACCAAAGCGGCCAGACGCGTTGGGCAGATCTGAAAAACACGGTGGTGTTTGTGGCCTTCACCTACGGCTTCTCCCCAGTGTTGAAAACACTGACTGAGTCCATCAGCACAGACACAATTTATGCCATGTCTTCTCTCATGCTCCTAGGACATCTGATCTTCTATGACTACGGCGCCAATGCTGCCATTGTGTCCAGCACTCTGTCCCTTAACATGGCCATCTTTGCCTCGGTCTGCTTGGCCTCGCGGTTGCCTCGCTCCTTGCACGCCTTCGTCATGGTGACATTCGCTATCCAGATCTTTGCCCTGTGGCCCATGCTGCAAAAGAAGCTCAAAGCCCGGACTCCCCGCTGCTATGTTGTCGCCACTTTGCTCTTTGCTCTGTCTGCCTTGGTGGGCCTGCTGACCATCTCCAGTGTTGGCATGGTTCTCTTTGCCCTTCTTCTCCTCTCCATCTCCTGCCTGTGTCCTTACTGCCTCATCAAGCTGCAGCTCTTCAAAGACAACATCCACGGGCCTTGGGATGAAGCTGAAATCAAGGAAGACCTCTCCAAGTTCCTCATGTAAAGCAGGCGAGGCCCTAAGAAAGGCAGCTGCTGATGCCAAAACAAAAATAAAACTGCATCTCCGCTGAGATACTGGGGCCTTGTGAATAGGTGTGGGCCAATCTGAACTTCATTCTATCATTTATTACTGCAGATCATGGCAGAAGTATCAAAGGTTGACATAGCCTAAAAGGACAAGAGTGACCCTGCTACCAGTCTGATCCCAGCCTTGTGTCCTGAAAGGCATTCAGGTCTATTCTGACTTCCTCACACCCTGCATAAAGGCCAGCACATGCTGATTTCGTTACCAGGTACAGTCTGTTCATCCCCTGAATGGAGACCATCAAAATAATGTCAGGGTAATTTGAAGGCAGAGACAAAAGGGAACCAGCTCAGTCACAAGAGCTCTTAATTTGCAAGATGGTGAGGTGATAAATGGGCATGAACCCGGGGGGGGGGGGAATACCTTGGGAACTCTGGGAGTTGCTCACCTCAAAGCCTCCTCCCTTCTCCATGAAGGAAAAGGGTAGAAAGGAACCCTAAAATGTGTAGCCAGTGGCCCTCCTAGCTCCCACAAGGACCTTCATTCAGCACCCAAGGAACCAACATGCACGTGCTTAAGGACAGATATACTCTTCCTCCCCAACTCTCCATTTCATCTCTCTTTAGATACAGATGTGTGTATTGCAGGATTTGCTGCCTGCTTACATTGCAATTTTGCTGTCTGAAGCAGCATTTATATATAATGCATGTCTCTTCCATGTCATATAATAAACCAACTTTCTCTATTCCTTTGGTGTGAAAACTTAACATTTCTAAGAGAGCAAAGAAGTTTTGTCTCCTATCAAGCATAATTTTTTTGCCCAGATGTGGGAGGAAAATACCAAAAGTATCCACTTCCTTTTGAAAAGAGATGTCTTTCTACTGAGTTTGTTTACCTGTGAGTAAATAAAATAGCAAGAAGTGTGCATGCATGCCATGAGACCAGTGCGATGTAGCCGCAAGCCCTTTCTTCTGAGTTGTGGTCTCCCCGGTCAGAGCTTAGACACAGCAGCACAAAACCTACAGGAACTGCAAAGGCCTTCTGCTCTGTTGAGTTCCCGGCCAATCTGAACCATCCAAGGCACACCTGATTTACTCTAGAGACCCTGATGGAAGAAGCTCAGCATCTGAAGTCTACCCCCACAGGAGTCCCATTAGTGCTTAGCAGCATCCCTCAAGGATTAGAATCCCCCCCCCAATCCTGTACACAGGACACCCCCCCCCTTTTGCACTCATCTCATATTAAGGGAAACATAATCACCTAGAGTGGGAAAGTTAGATCCCATGGTATGCACTTTTAGATTCCTATGTAAACCCCTCCTCAAGGCGTCCAAACTAAGGGATATGAATATATTTGGGTTCAAATTCTGTGGGGAGGACAGGGAAGATCATACATGTCAGAGAACAGCCTGTGGCGTTATCGCCATGTTCCTTATTTCTCCTGCCACCCAATGTTCTATTTTAGATAATGTTTTTTCAAAAAGAAAGAAAGAAACATAACCACAATTGGAGGCAAAGTCACATTCCAATGTTATTTCTTGATTTAAATTCTCTTTCAAAAATGTATATAATGCCCATTGGGATCTGATAGTTTATCCATGGTTTTCACAGGAATTTTATGTCTAAGCTTACGTGATAGGCTTGGGGACAGCTAGGGCCTGCTAGGCTCGTCTGTTCAAAAAAGAATTTATAAAGAATATTCCTATTTTCTTAGCTGTGTTTCTTGTATAATTTCATTATTGGGTATGTTGCTCCAAGTGTCCAAGTGGAAGAATTCAGTATAAATCTTGAACAACATTACCAGTTCCTGAATGGGTGAGCTGAAGGGTTTTAATCACTTCTTAATTGCTTTTTTCCTTAAAAAAGATTGCAAAGATTATGTTTTTTTTTTAAAAGCCCAATAATGTTCCTGCAGAACAATTCACATTGGGGCTGCTCTGCAATCCACCATCCAAGAATTCGGATGGACCATGAACTAGATGAGGTTATTTTTAGGATTACTGTTAAGAACAGGTGGATATATGAGCAGCTCTGGAGGGTGGAAGTGTGTGTTTGTGTGTGTGTGAGAGAGAGAGAGAGAGAGGGTCCCACTTTTGTAGTAACCGTTCCTTCAACTTCCAATGCACTGAAGTAACAGCAGCAGGGGGAGCTCCAATATCCTTCAAAGTGACTGGCTGAATGAAATGGAAATAAAGCTGGAGTGGAATGTGCCTGTTTTGGCAAGAGACAGCCCCCTCCCCAATTCACGATCCTCAGGGAGAAGAGAGAGCAGCTCTCTGCACAGGACTTCACCTCCCTTGGGACCTAGAAACCCTCTGAAAAATTACTTGAAGGGCACGGAAAACTTTTCCAGGCACATCTAGCAACCAGAGGAAACTCGGAAGTTTTCCTGAGACTAGTTCTCTGATGGGTCTGCTGGACTTTTACTTCAGAAGCAAAGACCAGAACATTTGTAACGTTTCCACACGAGTTGGCCGTTTGTGCGAAACTGCCACCCTTTGTTCATTCATTAATAGCAGAGAATCCGAGTGACTTTGCTGCCGGTCTTCTGCATTGCAGAGTTTAATGTGTTGTCTTCTTTACACATGGCATAGTGTATTTAAAATACAGAAATTCAGTTGTATGCCAGCATATCCAATGTGGACGGGCAAAGGGCTTTTGAGGCTGGGGGGACGGGACAGCATGTCTTTTAACTGGCAGCTTTCTCCCTGTAGCTGCCACCCTTGGTTCTCATCCCTGTTGAGCATGGCAGCCACATTACTAATAAATAGTCTCTCAGTTATTTCCCAATTGATCAGTTCCTTTTCCTTGCTGGGCAGCTTCAGTAGTTTATTTCCTTGTTATTATTTGTCCTTTATATTTATTAATTAAAAATAACGTCACATTTTCTTTCCATTTTTTTCCAAAACAAGGCCCATAGTGGTGACATAAAATGTATTAAACAGCCATAAAATTTGTAATAATTTGTGCAATTTGTAATCACCTTGCTGGGACGTGGGTGGCGCTGTGGGTTAAACCACAGAGCCTAGGGCTTGCCGATCAGAAGGTCGGCGGTTCGAATCCTTGCCACAGGGTGAGCTCCCGTTGCTCGGTCCCTGCTCCTGCCAACCTAGCAGTTTGAAAGCACGTCAAAGTGCAAGTAGATAAATAGGTACCACTCCGACGGGAAGGTAAAAGGCGTTTCCGTGCGCTGCTCTGGTTCGCCAGAAGCGGCTTAGTCATGCTGGCCACATGACCCGGAAGCTGTATTCCGGCTTCCGCGGCCAATAAAGCCAGATGAGCGCCGCAACCCCAGAGTCAGCCACGACTGGACCTAATGGTCAGGGGTCCCTTTACCTTTAATCACCTTGCTTAAAAAAAAAATAGTGGTAGTATGAGAGATGAAGACAACAACTGTTTTGGGGGTGGTTTTTTTTGTAATATAGCTTTGTCAGAACTTTAGCAAGACAAAACTCCTTCAAGTAATTGTTGGTCTGGGGACAGACTTCCTCCAAAATTTCATTCCACATCAGCAAGGTAATTCCTCCCAACTAAGGCATGGGCAGGAATACTTGAAGACGCAGCAGCTGCAAAGTGCAGCACATAAACACAGGTTCTGGTCCACAAGCAGCTGTCCTTCTTGGCAGATGGCGAGGGGAGGCCCTCCCCAGGTGAGTGGCGCCCCCTGTGGGCAGAAGCAGGGTAACTTGGGAGCCTGGCTGCTGCCTGCCCATATTTTGTGCCTCTGTTCTCACTCCCTGGGCTGCGAGGGCAGCATGACAGGACCCCAAACAGGTTTTGCAAACAGATGTGGCTGAACATAAGGCAGGGACCCTGTGGCACCATCGGTCAGTGCGCCTTGTTGTGGACCAGAATGTTGGTTCGAGTCCAGTGAGGGATGGCTTTGGGCAGGATTCCTTCCCTGCAGCAGGGTGGTCCCTTCCAACTCTATGAAGGGAGAAATGGAACTGGACGGATTTGCCATCCCTCTCTCCAAGCAGGGCTATTTGGCCAAGGGGAACGCGCATGCTTCACTCATGCTCTGGGGTCACAAGCAGCACCTGTACGCCCAGGAGGGGCCACAGCCTGTGGAAGAGCCCAGCGACCTCGGAAGCCTAGCCCAGAGCAGGGCTTTTTGTGTGGCTGCCCCTGTTCTGTGAAACAGCCATGCTGTCGAGATATGGCCATTCCGGAAACAGCTGAAGAAGCTTCCCCAGCTAGAGAAACGGGTCTTTAGTAGGATCCTATGCAATCATAGGACTTTTCTCATTCCAGCAATGAGAAATTATGTTCTCCCTGTGTGGCTTCTGAAAGTACGTGGACAAAAGCAATAAAAAATAGGTGTCAGAAGGAAAACACGCCACCAAACCCAAACAGAGCGCTGCAGAAACGTTTAAAAAACGAAGGAAAAAGCAGTTTCAGAAAGAGTGGGAGATAAGATGGCCCTGTTCCAATTCTAACCAACTAAAGGAAAGTTTATATAAAAACAACCACTTGGTTAGTGACTCATGAGGAAAGAATTTATCCTTTTTCTTAAGGGAAGCCCTTGGAAATAACATGACTAATAAGAGGATTGATCTTGTCTAACTGGCCACAAGTTAAATTTGACAGCAATTTCATCTTAAAATATATACATAATATGCCTGATAAAAGCTAGCTGTAGCCCAAAAGTTCAGGTCAATAAATAAGCCGGGAACTAACTGCTTGTTACATGCAAATATGTGTAACAGAGCCCCAGTGCCTTGGAAAAAAATAGCTTGGGGAAGGAGACATTAACTCTCTACCTGCTGTTTCTCTGCTCAAATCACACCCCAAGTCTCAACAGAGAAAAATGGGAAGGCAAAATGATATACATATGCTTCTATGATCTACCTTATGTTCTTTCAAACCTTTCCTTTTTTAAAAAATACACCCTTGCATTTAATATGTAGTTAAGCAGTTCATAGAATTACAGAATTCTAGAGTTGGAAGGGACCCCAAGGGTCATCTAGTCCAACCCCT